GTCCACTGAGATTTCCAAGCTGTTGCCTCTGTCATTTGTCCCAGATATTCTCAGCTTCTTAAAACAAGGAAAATGGAGCTTTACAGGGCTTCAGGTTCGCCCTTTCTGGGCCCACATGACAGATTCTTCCCGAGGGAAACATACGCTTGGCCTCCATGGAATGGGAAAAGGGGATGGCTAGAGTGGGTCTTGTTCTCTCAAAGTGCTGTTGTTGGTTCATTCAACAAATATTGATCAGGCAATTCCTGAGCAGTTCTAGATACTGTAGATGTATCAGTGAACAAAACAGAGAAGTCTTTGTCCTTGCGGACCTTTTGTTTTTAATGAGAAGAATAGACAATAAAGATATATAATGTCAATGATGATTAATAAAAATGAAGAGGAAGGGACTAGAGTGTGATGAGGGTGGGGAGGGGCTATTTTAGATAAATTGGCCAAGGAAGTCCTGAGGAAATAACTTTTGGACAAAGGTAAATAGAAGGAGGGGGCCAGTATTAGGAAAATCTGGGGGAAGAACATTCTAGACAGCCCCACACTAGAGGGTTGTAGACAGGAAAGTGGGGTCACCTGGGTGGCTCAGTGGGTTAAGCCTCTGCCTTTGGCTCAGGTCATGATCTCAGAGTCCTGGGATCGAGCCCCACATCAGGCTCCCTGCTCAGCAAGGAGCCTGCTTCTCCCTCTCCCTCTGCCTGCCCCTTTGCCTGCCCCTCTGCCTGCCTCTCTGTGTACTTGTGATCTCTCTCTCTGTCAAATAAATAAATAAAATCTTTAAAAAAAAACAAACAGGAAAGTGGTATAATCTGATTGGGGCTCTAGAGAGAATGGATCATGGAGGAGAGAGAAAGAAAGCAGGGAAACCAAAGAGAAGGCTGTTGAAATTGTCCATGCGAGAAAGGCTGGCAGCCTGGACAGGGCAGTGATGGCTGAGGAGATGAAAAGTGGTTGGAGCCTTGGAGAAATGATTAAAACAACAATGACAACAAAAACCAAAACCTTGGCCTATCAGAGCCGGTGAGAGCTTTAGTGATCCTAAGGCAGGAACTTTGGAGTCTGTCAGTCCTGGGTTTGAAGCCCAGCTCCACACATTCTGGCTGAGAGTTTCTGAGCAGGTTGCCACACCTCTCTGAGCCTTGGTTTCCCTATTTATAAACTGGATGTGATAGGAGAGCTTGCTTCCAAGGGTGTTTTGAGGACTCAGTGACATGCAAAGACAGAGATCAGAGAGTTTGGCACTTAATAGGCAGTAAAGTTAGCTATGACTCAACTCCCCACATTTATTGATAGAGAAACTGAGGCAGGTTAGCTTAGAGGCAAGCAGAGGACAGGCGGTGGGAGGGAGAAAAGAAAGCACTATTTACAGGGTTCCTCAAATCATATACGCAGGTCCAGAAAGAAAGTTCAGTAGGCAAGGAACATAAAAAATCATGTGACGCCCTCTGGCCATCTTGTTTTCCTACTCTCAAAAGACATGGGAAATTAGAAATATGTCTCTAAGATAAATCAACACAAGTATAGTAAGTAGCAACTGACATTCAGCTGCAAAGTCAGGGAGACCTTAGAGAAGAACAGGAACCGTGGCACCTGGAACACGTGTGCCCATTGAAAGGAGCCGGGTACGTCAGTTCCCCCGAATTGCTGTCTCCCTCTGCCCGACATCCTTATTTTCAGCAGAAGTCAGAATCCAGATTTTCATATGAAATCTCCCATTTTTAAAAAGATTCTATTTTTAAGTTATCTCTACCCCAAATATGGGCTCAGACTTATAACCCGAAGATCAAGAGTTGCATGCTCCACCAATTGAGCCAGCCAGGCACCCCGAAATCTCCCAGTTTGGTGTGTTTTTTTTTTTTTTAACTTGCTTTTTTCTTCTTAAGTAGGCTCTACACCCAGCATGGAGCTCACTGTAGGGCTTGAACTCATTGCTTCTGGAGTATAGGAACCCAGCTTTTTTTTTTTTTTTAAATTTATGGAACCTAGTGAATTTTTTTTTGAACCTAGTAAATTTCTATATATTGCTCTTGCTATTATTTCAGCATTCTTGCCATTATTTCACCCTTTCTGATCCTTACAGTTTCTTTTTCTTGCCTTATTACTTTGGCTAGACCTCCAACACAATGTGGGAATCATGATAGCAGGCATCCTTTTCTTATTCCTTTTTTTTTTTTTTTAAGATTTTTTAATTTATTTATTTGACAGAGAGAGAGATCACAAGTAGGCAGAGAGGCAGGCAGAGAGAGAGGGGGAAGAAGGCTCCCTGCTGAGCAGAGATACTGATGCAGGGCTCAATCCCAGGACCCTGAGACCATGACCTGAGCCGAAGGCAGAGGCTTTAACCCACTGAGCCACCCAGGTGTCCCCCTTTCCTTGATCCTGACACAGAGGGAACATATCTCACTTTTCACCCCTGTGGTAGATTTTTAATTTCATTATTTTTAAATGTTGGCTTTTTTTTTTCCATGGGCTGCCAATTTGTGATCTCCGCTTTCCCTGAATTCTCTGTCTGAATTGTGGTAATCTTATTGGGTAGGTACTATTATTCTCACCAATTTGACATAGGAGGACACTGAGGTTCAGAGAGGTGAAGTGACTTGCCACAGCCACATACCTGGGAAGGGACAGAGCCAGGATTCAAACCTGGCTCTGCTCAATGTCAAAATCTGTGGGACCCTGGATGCTCAGGACAGCCTCTCTTTACACTTTACCCTCTCCAGCAACTTGGGGGACCTATGGGGTGCTCTGGAATCCTGGAGCAGCTCTGTTGTCAATTTTAAGTGACCCTTGACCAAGGGCCTTCCCCTTCCTGGGCCTCAGTCTCCCCATCTGTCAACCCAGGAGGGATGTAGTTACAAGGTCCCCAATATGGTCCCAGTCTCCTTCCCTGCAGTCCAATTATGTATCTATCAAATATTAGGCCTTGATATGTCACTTGTTCTGTGGCCTGGGTCTGCCACATACTGCTATGTGATTTGGGGGTGCTTAACCTCACTGTACCTTTTGCCTCATCTCAGGTTTAAGATGGAATTAAAAGTAGCACCTATCTCCAAGTGCTTAGGACATGCCAGGCATGGCATAAGTGCCTAGTAAACATGAGTCCTCATGATTATTGATAAATGTACATGCATGTGTACACTGACAGGAAAAGACAGAAATATAACTTAAGTAGTTTTATTAGGATGGAGACATGGTTCTTAACATTTTCTTTAATGTCACAATTTTTTAAAACGTTTAATGACTCCTCCATTTTGTAGAGAACAGTCTAAATTCCTCAACCCAACATCCAACAACATCTGATTCAACATCAACTTATATTTCAATACAGCAAAGTGGCTAATGGCACACGGAGGCAGGCCACCCCAGCCTGAATCCCATCTCTGTGACTTACTAGCTGTGTGAGCTTGGGCAAAGAGCTCTGCCTCTCTGTGCCTTTGTTTCCTCATCTGTAAAATAAGGAAATTAACAATTCTCACCTGATGGGGCTGAGGTGGTATGTGCAGTGTCCATCATGTGGAAGCTTGAAACATATAAGGGATTATTATGATCTAACCATTACCCCCAAATCTCTGGTCATCCTGATCCATTCACCAGCCCCCAAATCATCCTACTTTGAAGGCTTTACTCATGACTTTCTCTTCCTGGCATGCCTTTTCCTATTTATCCATCCATCAAAACATTCTGTGTCAAGGACCAGCTCAAATGTGCCCTCCCCTAAAGAGAACTTCTGTCCTCACCAGCCCCCCTCTGGCCATGAAGGCTGGGTGCACTTCAAGCTCTCACTACCTCAGCTGTATACCACTTCCTCATTGGTCCTTCCTCTTGCATCATACCCTTCCTGAGGGGAAGCTGGGCTTGCTCTGAGCTACAGCCCAGAGCCCCAGCACAGATACCTGAGGGACGTACCAGCCTTCAAGGAAACTCATCAAACTGAGTCCAACAGCTCTGCTGCGTCCTGCCTGTCCCTTCTTGGGCCTCGGTTTCCTCTCCTATCACTGAGGCAGTGTGGCTGTGAATAGAAATGAGGAGACCCTGGTCAAGGCCCCTCTTCTCTTCCCTGCCTCCCAATAAGCCTGGCTTGCTTCTCCTCTGGACTAGCTGGGGAGTGGGGACAGAGTGCTGGCAGTGGGGGCAACTACTGATTTTAGAGGCCTGCTTGCGATGGACCTCTGGCTCTGATCAGAGTTTCTGATGTTGAAGGGTTTGGGGCAAGGCTCAGGATCCTGCATTTTTCCAAAGTGAGTATAAACCCCTTCCATGGCCATGTTCTGAAATGTGGGAGCACCGAACCTCTCATGGCTAACAGGCAGCAAAGCTGTAGGCAAGGGGCCATGGGCCCTCTCAGTCCCCACACACTATGCTGCCACCTAGGGGCAAAGAAAGAAACTGCCAAGGCTCGAGCCTAAGCCATTGGACACGTTTTGATAAAAACACTTGAGCACTTTCCAAGTGCCAAGCACTATGCCAAGTCCTTTGCACATATCATCATACTGGGTCCCCATGACAGCCCTATGAGATCGAAACGTCATAAGCCCCATTGTACAGAAGAGACACACAGGGCTCAGAGATGGCAAGTGACATACCTAAGGTCACACAGCAAGTGAATAGCAGCACTTAGATTTAAGGCCAAATCTGGCTGATAGCTGTACTCTAACTGTGACACTCAGTGCTGCCTAAATGCCTACGTCACAGAGTCATCTGCGGATACCCTGTGGAACCGTATATGAAAAGGTCCAGCAGATAAGGGCTCTACCCATTTCAGGCCTCCAGAAGAACAGCTTGACCAGAGGCCACACTGAGACAGCCCAGAGGAGGGGCAGGTGGGACCACTCTGTCTTCTCTCTTAGGTGGGCTGACACCAGGCTGGACCAGCCAGACCCTGGGCTGCTGGCTTGGCCAGCTCTCTGACCTCCAGTGCCCCTACCTGGAAGCGGTAGGCAGCCCTGCCTCATATTCCAGAATGCCACAGGCCTAGCCAGCAGAATAGGAGCCACAGCAGGCTGGCCACAGCAGGCTGGCCACAGGCGAGGGTTCATAAATGACACTCCAGAAGGATTTTGGCCAATGGCTCACTTCCACAGGGAAGGATCTCTTGTCAGCCCCTGAGGCCTAGACCCACAGGGGAGCATCAGGCCAGGCTCTGGGAGCAAACACCGCGGGTCCGTCACTCTGAGGCCTGGATGTAGACAGGCACAGCTAGCATGGCACATGGGCCTTCGGCCCCGGCCTGCAGCTCTGCCAGCGCCAGGTTGGAGCCCAGGCTCTCTGCATGCCCGGGCACTACCAGCTCTGGTTCACCCCCCACTGTGCCACCCACCACGATGGACAGCACTGCGTCTGGCTCCGAGAAGGGCGGCTTGCCTGGGGCAGCCTCGGACACTGACCCAGCCCCGGTGTCCTTCAGCTCCTCCAGCCCCAGCGGGTCGGGCAGGGGAGTTACCACCTTACGCCCGCCACTGCTGCCACTGCGAGGTGCTGCCCTCCTCCGGGAGGGCCGCCGGGCTTGCAGGTCCTTATCCTTCTGGGGGCCAAGGCGGCAGCGGTGATCTTTGAGGTATTTGTGTCGGGAAAAGCCCTTGGCACAGCCGGCGCAGCGGAACTTGTAGTTGCCGGTGTGGGCACGCTGGTGCTCCGCGAGGTGGGCGCGGCGGCTGAAGGACTTGCTGCACAGGGCACACTTGTGGAGCTTCATGCCTGGAGCGAGGGGAAGTCCGTGAGAGGCACCCTGACCCCTTAGTCTGCAACCGCACCTTTGCACTAGGGATAAAACCCAGTCTCTCAGCTTGCCTTTGGAACACGTGTCCGATCTGGGCTCTGCTCCTGCCAGTCTCATTTCCCACCTTTTCCCAACCAGCCACACCAGCTCTCCTCAGGCCACCAAGATGGCGCCTGCCTCTGGGCCTTTACACTTGCTCTATCCCCTCTGCCTAGAATAGCATGCTCTGCCCTGAAATCTTGGCTACCTTAGCCAGGTCACCATTATCTCTCTCCTCTCTGGTCTGTCTCACCCTCGTCCCCTCAGACCATCCCTGCAGGGCAGCTAGAGATGGCTTCATGAACTACACAAAGGATCCTGACTCTGAACCCTCCAGCGATTCCCCAAGTTTTCCACAAAGCCCTGTGCGTTGGACCACCCCCTTCACCTCTCAGCCCCATTCCCTCCTTCCCCTCACCAGCTCTCAGATCTCCATGCCTCCCACTCACCTTTCCTTGTCTTAAACAACCCCCCTAGTCTCTCCCCTGCCTCAAGGCTTTACACTTGCTTCCTCCTTCTGGAAGCTATTCGCTGGCTCTTCTCATCCCTCAGGATAGGTCTGATGTTACCTCCTCCCGGAAGCCCCCCGATATCTGCTTCATTTCTTTCTCTGCCCCATCCTTCTGTTTATTCCCATCTTTGTACTCTGCATACTTTGCTGTAAGATACTTACTCATTTGTTGTTCATTTTCAATCTCTATCACTTAAATGCAAAGCTTTCCCAGGGAGGCAGGGGGGGCTCTGTCCATCTGATTCCGCCCCATCACCCCCAGAGTCTGACATGTGATAGGTTCTCAATAGTCACTCACTGAGTGAATCACTGGTGCCTCCACGTCTACCATGAAGTCAGCTCCAGCCCACACTCGGCCTGAGCCATACTCCCCTCACCCTCTCTGGGACGAAGGCTCAGAGAGCGGCAGTGACTTGCATGAAGCAATGCAGCAGGACAGTGGTCGTACTAAGAATCAGACTCAGGCCCTCTGTCTTCAGTCCTCAACTCTCTACTCTCCCAGTTTTCAAACTTCCCTTAGCCACTAAATCCTTTCTGTAAACCTCTGGTTTTTAACCAGGGGCAATTTTACCCCTCCGAGACTTTGGCTTGTCCTCTGGAGACATCTGTGGTTGTCCTAGCTGCAGGGAAGATGCCACTGACATCCGGAGGGTAGAGGCCGGATGTACTGGGAAACATCCCACAATGCACAGGGAGGCCCCCAGGACAAAGCATCAGCTACTGCGAAATCTCAAGAGTGCCAAGAAACCATGTTCCAGACCCAATGGTATGTGGAAAGCCAGCTGAGCTGCTCTGGGGACACAGCAGCACCCCAGGAAGTGCCATAGAGCCCCTGGAAAGCTGAGGAGTGGGGTGGAGAGCCCTGCTCCCTGCACCAGCTGCCCTGCTCTGCTGAGGGTACCAAGGAACCTTCCTGGCTGTGTCCTGGACCCCGCTGGAATCTGATTTCCCTCCACGTCCGATCCACATCTCTATCACACTGGGTACCTCTCTGATTTTCAGCTATCTCCTCTCAGGCAAGCTTCCCCCTCAGCCTGGGGAACTCTGTCTGACTTACCTCCATAGGACCCCGAGGACTCTAATGCAGACATGGCTCATGGTTCATATGAGCAAATGTCTGTTGGCTGGAATATGCCAGGCAGACATAATAAGCTTCATGGGATGCGCCTGCTCTTTCTAGGAGGCCCGCCCCAGGGGTTCAGACCCTCCTGGTATGTCCAGCGGTCACTTACCGGAGTGGGAGAGGATATGCGCCTTCAGCTTGTCTGGCCGGTTGAACTCTTTACTGCAGCCTGTGTGTGTCCTGGAACCCAAAACCACTGGTCAGGGGGAGCTCACCAGACTCGGACTCTCTTGCTGGTCTCTGTGCTAGCCCTGGGCATGAGGGACTCCCTGTCTACCCCAAAGGCCAGGCAAGGAAGCAGGGTGGGGAGTGAGGCAGGTCAGGTAGCAAGGCCCACGACAGGATAATAGGAGACAGGCCCTTCAGAACCTCGGCCCTGACAATTCTCTGTCCCACTGCTGGGTAAATCGGCCCCTCCCACTCATGCCAGTCTCCACTCACGAGAAGGGGCATTTGTATTTCTTGAATGGTTCATGGATCAACATGTGTCTCTTCAGTTTGTCCTTACGGTTGAACGCGGACTCGCACACTGAGCATTTGTAGGGCTTCTCACCTGTAGGAAGAGACACAGCTGGGGGGTGGGGACTGCAAGTCCCATGAGATGGAGTCTGAATATGGGGTACACTAGAGGACAGCAGCCCCTCTAGGGAAGTGGCCTGGGAGAAAACAGCCTCTCCCATTCCTCATGATTTTGTTTTTCAAAGGAGAAGAGGGGGCTATTGCAGATAGGGCAGTCAGGAAAGGCCTTTCTGATGAGGCAAGAGGGGAGACCTGAGGTGGTAGGGGAGCGAGCCATGATGGAAATTGAATTCAGGGTCCCAGGAAGAAGGAAAGGTAGGAGTGTGTGGTATGTCTGAAGAGCAGTGGGGAGGCCAGTGTGGCTGGAACAGAGTGGGGAACGGAGAATGAGGCATAAGGGGAGGTCAGCGAGACAGCCAGGCCCAACAGGAAGGGCCTGCAAGGCCTAGGTTTTTACTCTGAGTAAGAGGAGAAGCCTCCAGAGGGGCTGAGTGGAGCAGGGACAGATCTGACTTAAGAGTGTCATGGGCTCCCTCTAGCTGCATGCAGAGGACAGACTGGGGGGGGGGGATGGGAAGTAGCCAAGAATAGACCATGTTAGGAAAGTGGAATCGGCAGCCTTTGCCAGTGGACTGACTGTGGGGTGACTGAGGGGAAGGGAGTCAAGAATCTAAGGTGGGCCTGAGTGATGGGTGAATGGTTGTGGCATCTACCGAAATGGGGTCTACCACAGGGGAGAGAATTATACCTTATCTAATGAATTGTTGCCACAAACTATGAAGGAAGTACTAGGTGAGAAAACTGAAGGTCATGGTCTGTACCTAGTGAGCTAAGAAGCCAGCCCAGCAGTGTGATGCAGAGTCTGCCTGAGTCGCCCCCCATCGGCTGCAGCAGAGGCTGGTGGGGACCAGGAGGGGGAGGAGAGCAGCTCTCACCTGACAGGGGTCCTAACCTGTCCTATGGAAAAGGGCTGCCACTGGGCTGTTTTGACTTCCTGTCATTATTTCCTCCCTATTCTCCCTCTGGAATGAATAAAGTCCTTTTGAAAAATGCCAACCCAGTGATTAAGGAAATTCTGGCCCTTACGATGGAATGCTCTGCAGTCATGTGTCCAGATTAGTGTCCAGTTGTGTTTCCTGATCTGGAAAGAGGCTCCTGGTCATACTGCTAGTGAGGAAAGAAAACTGTAGAACAGCTTAAGACAATCCCCCTTTTGTTAGAAAAGATAAAACCCTCATATTCCAAAACAGCCCTAGCCACAGGTGGTTGTATATACCACCTGTGTAGATGCAGGGAGAGAGCTGAGGGCAGGTACATACCAAAACGTCAGTAACAATTAGGATTCGAAGAGGCAACCTAAAGTTTTACCTTATATACTTCTATGCTGCTTCCATTTTTTAAATAAGCATGTATTACTTTTGAATAATAATTTTTAAAACTATAAAGAGAGTAATTTGGTAATATCTATCAAAATTACCAAGCATGTACTTTTTTCTTCTTTTATTATGGTAAAATATACATTAAATTTTCCATTTTAGCCATCTTTAAGGGTCCATTTCAGTGGTATTAAATACACTAGCATGGTTGTGCAATCACCAGCACCATCCATCCCCAGAACTTTGGCATCATCCCAAACAGAAACTCAGTACAATACTGCTTATACACTGGAACCTAGCATTTCCACTGCACAGAATACACAACTACAGACATACTCCCAAAAGCGTGCCAAGGGGACACACACAGCATTTTGCATACAAACTAACAGCTAAAAATAATCCAAGTATCCATCCCCAGGAACCGGTTAAATAAAAAATAGTAAATAAAGGGCGCCTGGATGGCTCAGTGGGTTGAGCCTCTGCCTTCGGCTCAGGTCATGATCTCAGGGTCCAGGGATCGAGCCCCGCATAGGGCTTTCTGCTCAGCTGGGAGCCTGCTTCGCCCTCTCTCTCTGCCTGCCTCTCTGCCTACTTGTGATCTCTCTGTCAAATAAATAAATAAAACTCTAAAAAAAAATAGTAAATATGGAGGAATTCTATGCAGCTGAGAAAAAGAAGGTACTGCTAGAAGTATCTCCAATGTATACTGATGAGTGAAGAAAAAAGGCACATAACAGAGTTATAATATTCACTCCATTATGTTAAAGTAAGCAAGCGTGTGGCACAGATACAAAATTAAACCACAAGGACTCAGACTAGAGCCACTAACTGCAGTCATCTGCGGGGAGGGGAATTGGGGATACTTTTCAAACTGCAAGTTATGACCTGCTGGTGGTTATTTTAACAACTAAAATTAAACAGAATAGAAAATATTGTTTTACGAAATTTCTGTTTCAGTATATGCTCTGCATATAAATGTGTTTCCTGGGTTGTAGTATAAAATATATTTTTTTGCCATAGGTCATAGTAAAAATTTTTTTTAAATATTTGGATTATCCATTTGAGGTGAGAGGATGGGGTTATTTTCTTTTTCTCATATTTGTTTTTTTATTTTTATTTTTTTTCATATTTGCTTTTGTAATGTCAAGGATTTTCTATTCAGGTTTTTGCAACTTTTGGATCCTTTTAAATGAAAAAAATTTTTTTAAAGTAATAATCTTTTTTAAAAGATTTTATTTATTTATTTGAGAGAGCAAGTGCACAGAGGCAGAGGGAGAAGGAGAGGCAGACTCCCTGCTGAGCAGGGAGCCTGATGTGGGGCTCAATCCCAGGACCCTGAGATCATGACCTGAGCTGAAAGCAGATGCTTAAGCCCCTTAAGTAATACTCTTTTTTTTTTAATTTTTTAAAGATTTTTATTTATTTATTTGACAGACAGAGCTCACAAGCAGGCAGAGAGGCAGGCAGAGAGAGAGGAGATGGCTCCCCGCTGAGCAGAGAGCCCGATGCGGGGCTCAATCCCAGGACCCTGAGATTATGACCTGAGCCGAAGACAGAGGCCTAAACCACTGAGCCACCCAGGCACCCCAGTAATACTCTTTTGAAGATTAAAAGAGAATAAAATGTCAATGTATCTCAACTGGGGAACCAAGGAAGGGGGTTCTGCCCAGGTGTGGGTGGGAATTTTGTAGGGAGAACAGCACCTCCACCCCAAGGGGCTCAGAATGGTCTGAGTGAGCTGTCAGGGGGCAGAGCCAAGGGTTTCCCCCACCAGCCTCCAGAGGTACATATCCACTCTAGTACTGGTGGGAATTCCTTGTTCACTTGAGAGGGCAGCTTGTTAGGTGGCCAGAAAGGAGATGAGGAAAGACTGGGGAAGGAACTGGATGGGGAGGGAGAAGAGGGAAATAAAGAGAAAGATGGGATAAAGGGCAGAGGGGGATGGGAAGGGGAAAAGAGACGGAGCTGGGGGAGCAGACAGGAGGCTGGGCAGGAGTTGGGGGTGGGGGACACAGGGCACGCACCTGAGTGGATGTGAGCATGCAGTTTGAGGTAGTGCTCCCGCCGGAAGAACTTCTTGCACACCTGGCACTTGAACCTGCCGCCACTGCCATGGGTGGGCAGATGGCGCCGCAGGTAGCGCTCACAAGGAAACACCTAGCAGAAGACAGGAGCTGGCCTTAGGTCTGACTTAGTAGCCCTCACCACCCTGTGAGCTTAAGGGGCCCCTCATTTCCCACACTTATGGAAACAATTTCCTTTCTGCCCACCGGGGTCAAGGATCAGGGCCCAGTGTCAGGCTTAGCCTTAGAACCTCACAGCTCCCACGACTCCCCCATAACGCCTGCTCTGAGCTCCTGCCAGCCTGCTTTTACTACCCAGGAGGCCCTTCTTTCGTAGCCTGACAAACTTCCACTTGGCCATCAAGATCCAGCCCAGGTGTCACTGCTTTTGTGAAGACCTCTCTGACTGTCCAGTGCTACAGAGGGCCATACAAACTTGACCCTTGAATGTTCATATACGTTTTATTTATTTCTTTGTTACTTAAAATAAACTCTACCCCCTACATGGGACTCGAACTCACAACCCCTGAGATCAAGAGTCGCATGCTCTACTACCTGAGCCAGCGGATACCCCTGTGCATCTATTTTTTTTTTTAAGATTTTATTTATTTATTTGACAGACAGAGATCACAAGTAGGCAGAGAAGCAGGCAGAGAGAAAGGAGGAAGCAGGCTCCCTGCTGAGCAGAGAGCCCGATGCGGGGCTCGATCCCAAGACCTGGGATCATGACCTGAGCTGAAGGCAGAAGCTTTAACCCACTGAGCCACCCAGGCGCCCCTGCATCTATGTTTTTAAAGTCGCCATCTGACCCCTTGAATCATAACCTGTGGCTTAAATGAGATCCCTATGAGGGCAGAGGAGCTTTCATTCACTGCCACAGGGCCTGGGTGAAATGTTGCACATGCAAAAGAATGAATGACAAACAGAAGAAACTGAATGAAAAGGTAACAAAGAGCCAGAAACATGGAAGCCAAAATCTCCTTCCTCTCCAGCCTTAGGAAAGGCATTCGTTCATTTTTTCATTCATTTGCTACAGAGAAGTAGTCAGGGTTACAGACCCAACTACTTAGTAGCCCCTCCATGTCCTAGCTGGGAGAGCTTGTTGTACCTCGGTTTCCTCATCTGTAAAATGGGAAGAGTAGTGGTATGCTTCCTGGAGTTAAATGACTCAATGCAATCAAATGCTCTGAACAGTATCTGGCACGTGGCTCTTGTTTAATCCACGATACCTTTTCTTTGGAACACAAATTCCAAAGCCCCAAATTAGGCTATCTGCATAATTAGAAACATCTACCATGCAGCTGACATGAAACCAGGGCTGTCCTGGAAAATCTGCCGTGTAAGGCTGTGAGAAAATGAGTAGACTAGAGAAACCAGTTAAAGCACCAGGTGGATGCAATCAGCAGAATCCAGACTTCAGGAAACTGCACAGGACCAATGGCCCAGTTTCTTCAACAAATAAATTAAAAGAAAAGAAAAGAACAAAAAAAAAGGAGCACTGGTGGGGAGCATCTGTTGACGAACAGAAAATTTGGTTGTATCGAGTGGCTGGAGTGTGTGGACCTGATTCAGACAAATAAACCTGACAAAAATTATGATGTTTCCAAGACTATTAGAAATGAGAACATCAGGCTTAGTGATGGTTTTCAGACTCACTGGAAAGAACCCACAGCAAGAAGGACAGTAATAGGTCAGGAAGCTGGAGGCCGCTGTGCCGAGGCTGGGCCTGGGCCCAGGAGAGGCCTCACCCCATGTCGGCACAGCCTGGCCGAGCCTGGCCCAGTGGCAGCTGCAGGGTGGACACGTGTGCTATCCAGTGGCTCAGCTGGGCCGTGCAGGGCTCTTCCTCTTCAGAGGTGAAGTGTCATCTATGGAGACGAGCCCAGGAGAGTGGGAGGTATTTGCTCTACCACCTCTCACCCCCCATCATGGCCCCAGGGGGAAAGGGCAGTGGTACCCACCTTCTGGCAGTGAGGGCAGGGGAAGTTGTGAGTGGCGGTCTGCAGGTGGTGTTCCAGGGCCTCAGGGGTTGAGTATTTGTTGACACATTTGACACACCTACATGGGAAGGAGCAGGAGAGGGGACACAGCAGTGTGAGGAGGCCGGACTGGCCCAGCAGCAGCCATCCTCCTCCCCCCAGGGCAACAGTGGAAGGCAAAATTCTACACTTAATTCATTCTTTTCCTTTCAAAAAAAAAAAAAAAAAAAAAGAAGGGAAGGTCAAGGGGCTTGAACTCATGACCCTGAGATCAAAAGTCGCATGTTCTTGGGGCACCTGAGTGGCTCAGTCAGTTAAGCCTCTGCCTTTGGCTCAGGTCATGGTCCTGGGATAGAGCCCCATGTCAGGATCCCTGCTCAGTGAGGAGACTCCTTCTCCCTCTGCCTCTGTCCCTCTTCCCTGCTCATGCTCTCTCTCTCTCTCAAATAAAAAAAATAAAAAATAAAAAAGTGACATGCTCTACTGATTGAGTAAGCCAGGTGTCCCAGAGGGAGTCTTTGATGAAAATTAAAAAAAAAAAAAAAAAGAAAGAAAATCAGACCATGTTACATCCTTGCTTAAAAGACCCCACCTTGGCCTACAAGGCCCTAATGGCTTGACCACTCCTACCTCTCAGACTTCATCTTTCTCCACGGCCCACCCCACTCTGCTCCAGTCACCTTGGCCTCATTAATATACCCTGAACACACCAAACTCTCCAGCCTCAGGGCGTTTGCACCCGCTGTTCCTGCTACCAGGAACACTCTCCCCCAAATATTCCCTTGGGTAGCACCTTCTTATCCTTCAGGTTTCACTTCAAATGTCACCTCCTTAGAGATGCCTTCCTTGAGTACCCTGTCTCAAGTTGTCCCCTGTGGCCCACCCCCAGGCACTCCCTACCCAGTTTTGTTTTCTTCTTAGCACTTATTATCTATAATTATTATTTATGTGCTTACTTGATTTGATCTGTCTCTTTTATCAGCAATGGGGCTCTGGAGGCAGGGACCATATCTGTCTTGTTCATAACCTGATTTGAGCACCAGTGACAATCTAGTATGTGAAAAAGTCAGACAGACAAGGATCCAGGCCTGGCCCCTTCTTGTTTCTGACCCTCAGTTTCCTCATCCACAAAATAGGGTAGGAATCCCATATGGACATGCCTCTTGTTCATTTTTAAGACTGTCACAAGAGTCAAAGGAAACAGGTGTGCCAAACAGCTCATTAATCACAAAACATTAAAAACGTAGTCTCCACTCTTAACATCACAGGCTGGCAAGCCTTCAAAACAGTTTCAGTTGCAAGCTGCTCTGAAGAGAAGATCCCTCCAGTCTCCCAACCATAAAAACATCTGCCAGCAAATGGACCCATTTATAACGAGGTTCCAGTGAGGAATGCTCCAGGTCGGAGGGTAATTCATGCTAAAAATAGAAACACGGGCCCTGACATGTGTACACCAGGGCCACCATGGGAAACGTACAGGCAGACTGCACCTGTGGTAGGCTCAGGGGACCTCCTCAGACCACACTCTGGAAACCACAGGCTAAATGCCTCCAGATGGCAAGAAAGGAAGAACAGGTCAGGTGGGAGCAGAGCTACCGGGTGGGGGGTCAGTGAGGACAGAGATGTTCCAAGCTGGTGAGGTAGGAAAGGGCAAGAACTCCACAGGCCTCAGCGGTGAGGAGACAGATTTCTGTGGGAGGTAGCGTAGCAGGAACCATTAAAATTAAAACTTCCTGCCAGAAATTCCACCCTAAGTCATCCAAGGTGACATCCTCAGCATGGGGGCAAACCCATGTCATGTGCCTGCTGATAACTGTGTGCTGAGGACAGAGGGTTACTCTCTGATATTTCCTGCCAAGAGGGCCAATCCTGCATCTAACCTGAGGTCAAATCACACAAACCCCAAATGAGGATATTCTGCAAAATAACCGGCCTATCCTCTTCAAAAATACCATGGTCACGGGAGACAAAGACCAAATGAGCAGCTGTTCCTGCTTAAAGGAGAATAAAGAGACATGATCTAACGCAACCTGTGATCCCGGCTTGGATCCCAGGCCAGAAAAAAACATTTACTTTGTCTATAAAGGATGTTATTGAAACAACTGGAAATTACTGGATGAGGTTTCTAGGTCAGGAAACGGAACTGTATTGATTTAAATTTCTGATTTGATAACTGCACAGTGCTTCTGTAAGAGGTTGTCCTTCTTTCCAGAAAATATACACTAAAGACAAAGGGTAAAAGAGCATTGTGTCAGCAAATTATCCTCAAATAGCTCAGAATATAATACAGAATATATGTTGAAAAGTTAACGTTTGGAAAATTTGGGTGAAGGGCATATATGGGAATCCTCTGTAGTACTCATGTTTTTTCTGGAGGTCTGAAATTACATCAAAGTAAGTTCCTGAAAGTGACTGTGGTATGGGGAAGGGGCTCAGGGTAGACAGGGAATTTCTTTTCACTCATGCCCTTTTTTAGTAATCAAATATTGTACTATATACATATAATTATTAAATAATTATTTTTTAAGAAACTTCTTAAAAAAATATTTTATTTACTTATTTGACAGAGAGAGAGAGAGATCACAAGCAGGCAGAGAGGCAGGCAGAGAGAGAGGAAGGGAAGCAGGCTCCCTGCTGAGCAGAGCCTGATGCGGGGCTCGATCGCAGGACGCTGGGATCATGACCTGAGCCGAAGGCAGAGGCTTTAACCCACTGAGCCACCCAGGCACCCCAATAATTATTATTTTGAAGTAGGTAACCAATCTTCTTAAAAGCCCTCATTGATTAAAAAAATTGTTTTTTAATTTTTATTATTCCTTTTTTTTGTTTGTAATCTCTACACCGAATGTGGGACTCAAACTCATAACCCTGAGATCAAGAATCGCACGCTCTTCTGACTGAGCCAGCTAGATGCCCCTCCCACATTGACGTCGGACCTGCAAAATCACTTCTAGGAACTTATTTATAAGTGAGCAAAGATGTCCAAAGTTGTTCTCGGTAGTGCTGTAGGTAATAATGAAAAACTGGGGATAACCTGACTATCCTGCAATCACGAACCAGTTACATAAATTTGGCACGTACAATGGAAGGATAAGCAGCCACTGAAAAGGCTGGGGCAGGTCTGTTTGTGCTGAGATGCGAAGATATCCATATTATAGTTTTAAGTGATACTGCACAGCATGTGTACAGAGTAAACCCATTAAGTTTCAGTCCGTTTGCTGGAAGTTGTAAGACACAAAAAAGGCACAATGAATTTTCACCGAAGTCCGTAACTGTGTCTGGGATGACCTGACTCCAATGTAGCCTGTGGTAATTGTATCTACAAACATGCTCATTACAGACACAGACCAAATAACATGTACCAAGAGGATAATAGGGATTATTTTTGCTTGGCAGGGTTTTGGTTTTTGTGCGATTTAAAAAAAATATATTTTTCTCGGGGCACTTGGGTGTCTTAGTCGGTTAAGCATCTGCCTTCAGCTCAAGTCATGCTCCCGGGGTCCTGGGATCGAGCCCCATGTGGGGCTCCCTGCTCAGCTGGGAATCTGTTCCTCCCTTTCCCTCTTCACCCCCCACTCCGTGTGTTCTCTCTCACTCACTCTATCAAATAAATAAAATCTTTACAAAATATTTTTTTTCTCTGCATTGAACATAGGTAACTTTTGTAATTAGGAAAAAAAGTCAATAAATCTTATTTTTAAAAGGAAAAAGTAAATATATAGCATATATAGAGTGGCATGCATAAAATTCACTTGAAGGGTTTGGGGCTTGGGGAAGCAACACAGATAGACCAAGGCAATGTGGTCCAAAGGTGGCAGAGCAGATAGACCAATGGGTCCCAGACACCTGGAAACAGGATGAAGCCACTATACCTCTTCAAACCTTACTGAGAGACAGAAATAAATTCTCCCTCATTTATGCCACTATTATTTGGAGCCTGTATTGCATGCAGCCAAACCTATCTAAACTGTACAAATAATAACTTCCAGCAATCACATTTATTGAGCCCCTGTGATGTTCCACGTATCATGTCTGAGAGCCTCACAGTTGTCTTACCTGATCCTCGTAAATAGGCCCTATAGTTATCCCCATTTCAAAGATATGGACACTGAGGCTCAGAGTGGCCAAATATCTTGCCAAGGTCATCTCCAGGGCTTGTAGTCAAGCTGGGATTTGAGCACAGGCAGGTGGCTCCTTATCATTATCCAGAACACCATTCCACCCTTGGGTCATCCAGATGGTGGCCTGCCTCCTCTGGCCTTACCTTTGGGCCAGGAGAGGCCCCTCACACAAGAACCTAGGAGAAGAGACTGACTGTAGACACAGGGCATTGGGCTCAACCCGCAGCCTACAAATTCCAAGACCAGAGCTGGGAGGCTTCCAAGGTTCCAGACGAGAATTCGAATCTCAGCTCTGTGTTAACACTGTTATTCTGACAAGCAGGTCACTTCTCCTTCTGAGCCTCAGTGTCCTCATCTTCCAAAGGGGGAGAACGCCACGGTCATGAACTAAACTGTGTCCCTCCAAAATTCATGTGTTGAAGGCTTGGCCCTCAATGTGATGGTATTTACAGATTTACGGATGGGACCTTTGGTGGGTGGGTGTGGGTGTGTGTGGGTGTGTGTGCGTGTTTGGGTTTTGATGAGATCAGGAGGGTGGGGTCCTCATGATGACAAAGTGCCTTATAAAAATCTTTTTTTTAAAGATTTTATTTATTTATTTGGCAGACAGAGATCACAAGTAGGCAGAGAGGCAGGCAGAGAGAGAGAGGGGGAAGCAGGCTCCCCGCGGAGCAGAGCTCAATGTGGGGCTTGATCCCAGGACCCTGGAACCATGACCTGAGCCAAAGGTGGAGGCTTTAATCCACTGAGCCACCAGGAGCCCCACAAAATGCCCTTATAAAAAGAGATTCTGTGTCTGTGGCATTTTGTTGTAGCTGGAGCTGACTAATACCACCGCCTCCCTTCCAGGATTGCAGGGATCAATGTCCCCAAGTCAGAGCTTGGCACATAGTAAGTGGTCCCTTCTTTTTACTTGCCATCTCACTCCAGAAAGCCACACACTCACAGCAACTCTCAGATAATTCACAAATCAATCAGGCAAGAGCAAAAGAAAATGTGCCCTGAGTTCAAGTGGGAATTATCCATCACTAATCGGAAATCTCTGCCCCTTGACTGGCCAAAGCTTTGCCTGGGTTTCCTGCCTCTCTGGCTCCAGTTCCCAGTCTCCTCCAGGGCAAGCTGCCCTACACCCATTTAAGTCCCAATCCCCTTGTCAATTTCTCAAAGCTTTTGTGATTTCTACAGGCCCTTCTCACCCTTACCCTGGCCCTACCCTCCCCTTTAGGCCACATCTAAACATGCTCTCCGGGGCACCTGGGTGGCTCAGTGGGTTAATCTTCTGCTTCCGCTCAGGTCATGATCCCAGCGTCCTGGCATCGAGCCCCATATTGGGCTCCCTGCTAGGGGGGAAGCCTGCTTCTCTCTCTCCCACTCCCCTGCTTGTGTTCCCTCTCTCCCTGTTCTCTGTCAAATAAATAAATAAATAAATTTTTAAATCTTAAAAACAATTAAAAATAAACATGCTCTCCCACTTCCACTATACACACTGATCATTCTAAACCACTTGCTATTTCATTTCATATCTCTACACTTGCTGTTCCTTCTGCTAGGAATGCATTCTACCCTACCTACTTGGCCAACTCTTACTCATTCCCTCAAAACCCAGTTCAGATAGCACTGTTTCAGGGACACCTTCCCGGCCCTAGGTCCCACTGTGCTTCTTGTATACCTTATATCGATGTATATATTAGCATTTTATCACAATACCCATAGGTGTTCTCTCCCAAAGGAGCCCATGCGTTCTAAGCTCAGGATCTGTTGTTACTTACCTCTGAAGCCCAGAGTGACACCCAGGAGTTACGCCTCATTAACACAGGTTATTGGATAAATCCCTACCCGCACAAGTTTGTACAGAAAATCAAAACCATTCCAACATGAAAATATTCACTAAGAACTGGGAGAAGGCCCCTGACAAATACCCCTCCCTGTTTATCACTAATACCGATTCCCACGCATTGTGAGCTAGGCTTTGTGGCATTGGTTGAACACACAGCAAAATGGCTGCAGGCAAAAATGTGGGTGTGATCTCACAGTTAGGAACGTGATACTGGGGAGCGCCTGGGTGGCTCAGTGGATTAACACCTCTGCCTTCAGCTCAGGTCATGATCCCAGGGTCCTGGGATCGAGCCCTGCATCGGGCTCTCTGATTGGCAGGGAGCCTGCTTCCCCTCCTCTCTCTGCCTGCCTCTCTGCCTACTTGTGATCTCTGTCAAGTAAATAAATAAAATCTTAAAAAAAAAAAAAAAAAGAAAGAAAGAAAGTGATATTGGGCACCTGCAGATAACCCATACGGAGGGTCTGGAAGAGGGACCAGAAAACCACCAAATAAGAGAAACTCAATGAGGACGGTCATGGGACTAAAAGCTCAATGAGAATGGTTTGAAGACTCAAGCATTAAAAGCTTGTGACAAAACTGAGGGAGCCTTTCGTCATTTGCCAGAGGGATGCTCTCTATGACCACCACAGAAGACTAAAATGACATAAAGGATTCTCAGAAAAAATTACCCCCAATAAAATCTACACCTGGTTCATTCCTTGCTCATTCTAAGAATCAGCCTCTGGCTTCAACTTTAACCTGAATTTTATAGACTATAAAACAAGTGAATCTTATTTTTATCAGTTTTGCTTTCCAGTATGTGCTTGTTCATTCTGTTTCCGTTCTAAGAATCTGTGTACCATTCTGACTGTAACCTACATTTTGAAGATCAGACAAAATCATATTTTCATACTAGTTTTAGTTTGGGAAAAAATATCGGTTTTCCACTATGAATGAAAAAATATTGCTTTCCCCTTTTTTCACATTATTTTTTTAGGATAAATGTCTACCAAACTGAAGAATGATACAAGGAGGGACAGCATCTTCTTCCCAGGTCCTCAGCAGTCAGAAGGAGCTAGGCGGCCGAGCCCTGGGGTCCCTTCGGGGAGAGGGGCAGTGGGCGGGGGGAGGTCACATACTTGTAGACTGCGCTGTCCTTCTTGGGGCTGTGCTGCGGCAGGAGGCTGTGGGAGTACTGGTGCACTCCCAGATCATAGAGCGAGGGGAAGTCCTTGCCACAGAGGTGACAGCGATAGCTCAGCTCCTCCTGGTGGCTCTTGATATGCTCCAGAAAGGTGTCGAGCTTTGGGAACGTCTGCGCACAGCTTTTGACCACACACTTGTATACCTTGAGGGAAGACACAGACCAGGTGACGGGAGGCAAATGGTTCCCCTGCGCCCCTGCTCCTGGAGCTCTGTTTTATCTTGATGAGAGAGTTGTCTCTTCTCAGCCAGTCACAAGGCCCCAGGACCTTTCCCTCAGGTGCTGTGTGTGACCTGGTATCTTTAGGAAAATTACCCCAAGCCGGGAAATGCAGTGAAAAGATAACATCGTGTCCTTCCAGTGCTGTACTAGAGTAGTGGCTCTCTGACTTGAGCAACCACCACAGTGACAGGTTGCCGGGCACCACTCCCGGACCATCTGAGTCAGCAGGTGTGGAGGGCCTGAAGACAGGCCTTCCTAACGAGTGCCCAGGTGACGGGTGCCAAAGTCACAGCTCTGGGGATCTCGCCCTGAGAAGTGCTATCTACCAAGCCTGCCCAGGGTCATCCCACTCTCTGGGGGCTGTGCCTTGTTTTGACTATTTACTATGGATTAGGAGCCTGACTCTAGAGTTAAATATTAACTTGCAGAAAACAGCTCCAATATGAATGATTTTTGTCAGGTAGCAGAGATATCCCCAAAGGTCATGGGTTTTATTGCCTTGTAGGACATTAACCAGATTTGAATCTACCTTAAACATCTTATCTGAATGCTCCTTTCTTTCACTGACCTAACTATACGTATGTATGAATACCAGTATTCTATATCCTCTTTTGAACTGGCTTTGTCATCCTTCTAGTTTCCTTATTAATGAGTTAAATTCTGGCTCATGTTCACTATGTTATTTTTATGAGAATTAGGTTTTTAAATTTTGAAAATTATACTTTGACAAGCATACTCCTGATTACCTATACAATTCCACTTGCTGCTTCTTCCTAACAAAGTGAACCCTGATTTGTTCAGGGTGCCAACAAGCCCCATTAAAACACTTGGTCTCCCTGGATCCCTTGTATCTACTGTCAGCCATCGGGCTCCTTTCTTGCCAGTGATATATAGGCAGGAGTCTTTAGGGAAGGCATTACTTCCAGAACACAAAAAGCAAAAGCTTCCTAGGAGAAATCCCTCTGCTTTTCTCATTTGTCCTGACTGGAATACAGATGTGATACCTGGAGATACAGCAACCATTATGCAACCTTGAGGATGGAAGTCACATGCTAAGGAGGCAGAGCCACAAACCAGAAGTAGCCTGAGTCTACAATGACATAACTGATCTGCTTTACAAGCCCAACGCTGCTTACTTAGGGACTTCTTGTGACATAAGGGAAATAAAACCTAACTAGTAAGCTAGTTGTCTATTATTTGCAGAGTAATAATGAATTCCTAAGTGTTAGAGCACACCCACTGGCTCTGACTAATGAGAAATCCACAGAGGGCTTCTAGGAAAGAAGAGACACAGAGAAGACAGCCCATTTTTGCTATGTCTAGACCACTGCCTAGAGTGACTACCATCCCAGGACCACAGGTAAGCCATCAGTACAGAACCAGGTCATATCCTCAGGTGGCAGAGGTAAGAGGTCGAAGGACACTGGGTCCTTGATGTTGGGGTGAGTCAAATGACTGTCTCAGGTCTGGAGCTGTGCAATCTTGGCTTTTCAATACCCTTGGGTTGCAATGACAAGCCTCTTAATTGTTTAAGCAATCTGAGTCAAAGTTTTCTGTAATTTTCCCTAAGGGTGTCCCAACTTAACACCATTAATCCCCTGCTGGGAATCTAGGATAAGGGACAAGTCAGGAGATTTAGATGAAGATTTTATTATAGTGATGCTCACCATGGTTTTGCTTAAATGGCAAAACATAGTTCATATCCTACATGTTAAAACAGGATTTCTTAAAATGTAGCTGTTAAAAATGATGTTTTTTTAAAAACAGTGACATGAGAAAATTCTCAGAATAAAAAATTAGGTTAAAAAATAGAAAGCACAGGGGCGCCTGGGTGGTTCCGTGGGTTGAGCCTCTGCCTTCGGCTCAGGTCGTGATGTCAGGATCCTGGGATCAAGCCCCACATCAGGCTCTCTGCTGAGTGGGGAGCCTACTTCCCCACCTCTCTCTGCCTGCCTCTCTGCCTACTTGTGATCTCTCTCTCTCTGTCAAATAAATAAATAAAATCTCTAAAAAAAAAAAAAAATAGAAAGCACAAATCCCAAGAGAATTTATGCTTATTAAAAAAACCCAATCTCAAGAGGTCCCATGTGGATGATTATACTTATACAACATTCTCAAAATGACAAACTTATAAAAACAGAGAACTGATTAGTAGTTTCCAGAGGCTGAGATTGTTGGGAAAGAGGAGAGCAGGTATAATAATGACAGGCAGAATGAGGAAGATCTTTGTGGTGATGGAATAGTTCTGTACCGTGACTGCAGATTTTACCTATAACAGGTAAAATGGCAAAGAACTACACATAGCTTTATACCCATGTCAGTTTCCTGGTGTAGCTCTCAGGCTGTAGTTACACACAATGTAACCATAGAGGAAAACTGACTGAAGGGTATAAGGGACCGCTCCCTACTATCTTTGTAACTTTCTGCAAACCCACAGTTCTTCCAAAAGAGAAAGTTGTTTTTTTTTTTAAAAGCTATCAGAAAAAAAAATACAATTCAAAATTATATGTATATACAGATCCCAATTATAAGAAAAAAACCCCTAGAAACTACAAAACATGCTGGATTTTGTGGGGGCATTCTGGAGAACACATATTGCAAGGTGGTTAAATGACATGGGGTTTGGCTCTGAGCCCCGACCCAGTCAGTTACTGGTGGTCACTTTGGATAGGTCACTTCGCCCCTCGGGGCCTCAGTTTCTGCATTGGGATGTACTGAAAATGGCTATCGCTAAGGTTGTTATGAAGATTAAATATAATTTTGAATGTAAGCATTCAGCAGGGTGTCCAGCATCTAACAAATGCATTCTTCAACCTATACATTCTTTAGATTTTTCTGAAATTTAAAAAAAAAATTCTATTTATTTTTTTACTTATTACTTTAGAGAGAGGGAGAGAAAGAAACCTAAGCAGGCTCCAAGCCCACCGTGGAGCCAGACACAGGACTCTATCTTACTATCCTGAGACCATGACCTGAAAGCCAAAATGAGCCGAAATCAAGAGTCCGACGCTTAACTGACTGAGCCACTGAGGCGCTCCTGAAGTGTACGCTTCAAAAAGGGTGAATTTTGTGAGATGCAAATTGTATCTCGATTTAAAAAATAAAAAACCAAAAAAGACTGTGGTCCTAAATCCCCATAGTAGGTGTTTAGACATTAGATTTCCTTGGAGTATTGAGAATTTTTCTCATGTCCGGATTCTACTTTGTATGACGTATAAGAGCTGGGTTTCCTCCCTTGGCCTAGCACCATAGTGGCCCCACCCAGAGAGGGGAAGCCTGGCCTATCACGGTGGTTAGATGGTAGCTCACTGCAACTGGGGCGCACTCCTGTCCCTTTCTAGGCACTGTTCAAGACTCCGGCACCAGCCGAGTCTCCCATCTCCGGTGGTTGTGGCCTCCCGCTGCCCACCATCTGCTTTACCTGCTCATTCTTATGCTGGGTCATGTGGGACTTGAGCTGGAAGTAGGTGCTGAACTTGCTGGGGCAGAACTGGCACAGGTAGGAGCTATCGATGAGGACAACCTGCTTGGCCTCCAGTTTGTCCCCTTCGTCCTCACCTGCAGCAGGCAAGGCCTGGGGCTGTGGGGCACCCGACAGGGACTGGCCCAATCCTGTTGAGAAAACCAGGGAAGAAGTCATTGAGACTGGCAGAGGAAGAGTCAGGACAGAGGGCCATGACGTTCAGGAAGGGTTCACCTTGTGCTGCCATCTACCATGTTCCTGGTGTCTGACACTGTACTCAAGGCCCCACACTCACATTCAGCTTTGCGCACAGATACCGCCATTCCAGGTGTCCACCTCCTGAATGCTTACATCCTGACTGGTAAACAGCTACTGCCTCAAATCTCCACTCACTGGTCTTTCTCTAGCCCTCTCCAGGTTTGTTAAAAATCTGGAACACTACTCCCGGCTGCATTCAACATACTTCCCCAGCCCCCCGTTCCAATTACAATCATTTATTTAGCTGCTCTTCCCTCACTTTTTGAAGACAGGGGCCTCTGACTCATCTCTACAGAGGCCTCTATAAATGTTTGCTATATGGTTGAAACGCTGATCCCAGGCACTGTAAGGATTTTGAAAAAAAAAAAAAGAAGAAGAAGAAGAAGACGATGAAGAAGAAAAGAAACAGATGGGATGCCTGGGTGGCTCAGTCGGTTGGGCGGGTGCCTTCGGTTCAGGTCATGATCCCAGGGTTCTGGGATCGAGTCCTGCAGGAGCTCCTTGCTCGGAGGGGAGCCTGCTTCTCCCTCTGCCTGCCACTCCCCCTGCTTGTATGTGTTCGCTCTCTCTCTCTCTCTGACAAATAAATGGACAAAGTCTTTAAAAGAAACAGATTGTTCCCCAAGGAGCTCAAAAAAAAAAAAAAAATGCACAGGGCACACAGAGACTGGCTAAACACACTGTAGGGCTAGTTCCAATAGGAAGCTCAAATAAAAGTGGCCACATGCTGCTCGTGCAGCAAAACACCCCCTTTGTTCACTGGTATGTGGTGGGCTATGCCCACCCGGGGGGACTCTACAGGAAGGGCTTAGGCCCTGGCCCTACACTGTCCAATACAGAGGCCACGAGCCACATGTGGTGACTGAGAACTCAAAATCTGTGGCCAGTCCATATCTAGATAAGCTATACACATAAATAAACCCTGGATTTTGAAAACTCAGTATTAAAAAAGAATATAAAATGTTTCATTGATAATTTCCTTATATTATACACTAAGATGTTATCGGGTTAGATAAAACATGATTAAAATTAATTTCACTTTTTTTAAGTATTGTTTTTATGTAGCTACTAGAAGGTTTTATTTTTTTTAAAGATTTTAGAGTTTTTTGGGTTTTTTTTTAAGATTTTATTTATTTATTTATTTGACAGACAGAGATCACAAGTAGACAGAGAGGCAGGCAGAGAAAGAGGGGGAAGCAGGCTCCCTGCAGAGCAGAGAGGCTGACGTGGGGCTCAATCCCAGGACCCTGGGATCATGACCTGAGCCGAAGGCAGAGGCTTTAACCCACTGAGCCACCCAGGCGCCCCATACTAGAAGATTTTAAATTACATATGTTGCTCATATTATATTTTTGTTAATAGCACTGCTCAGGGCCTAGTAAGTCCTCACGCCCCATACAGAATAGGAACTAAACCGGTATCAGATCTGGGACATGATCATTAGCTCAGGGACAAGTGATGGCTCAGAAGGGAATCCTACAAAGTTTAAGGGGCCTTGGAGACCATCTGCCCAAGGAAGTCAAATAGGTTTCAATTTCAAGTCAACCGATAGTGACTGCCTACAGCAATATACTGAGAGTGATTCTGAGGCAGGATCCAGGCACAGCAAAAAGGCCAGGTGATGGATTAGTGCTGTCTTCTAGCGGTACAGTATTAGAGTAAGGCCAGGTTTACTGTACATTTGTCGTCCCTCCTTTCATGCTATGCTCCATTTTACTTTTCAAAACCCTACCCCTAAATGTGATGGTATTAGGAGGTGGGATTTTTTTTTTTTAATTTATTTATTTGACAGAGAGAAATCACAAGTAGGCAGAGAGGCAGGCAGAGAGAGAAGGGGAAGCAGGCTCGCCACTGAGCAGAGAGCCCGATGTGGGGCTCGATCCCAAGACCCTGGGATCATGACCTGAGCTGAAGGCAGAGGCTTTAACCCACTGAGCCACCCAGGTGCCCCATGCTATGCTCCATTTTATAAATAAAGTAGACTGAAGCCCAGAGAGGTCAAGGAGGTTGCCCAAGGTCACACAGCTGGGAATAGAACCCATGAAGCTTCAGAGGACAGGTATGGGCACGATGGCATTCCCCTCTTCGACCTACCTGTGTTTTCCTCATCCTCCTGCCTGCTGGGGTTGAGGGCCATGACCTGTACGGTCACAGAGTTGCGAGAGACAGTGCCACCGCTCCGCCCTGGAGGCCACACCTTATGAGTCTGCATGTGTTTCTTGACGTTAGATTTCTGGGCAAAGGCACGACCACAAGCAATGCACTGGAAGGGCTTCTCACCGGTGTGGCTGTGGGAAACAAAGCCCGTCAGGCCCCTCACGTAGGAACTGGGATGTGACCCCAGCAAAGGAGCTCATAGGCACCAAGAAGGCCCAGACAGAGCCTGCGGATGCCACTGGCCATCATTCTGACACCATGAGGACAAGCTGCCAGATCAGAGGCAGAAAGACCCTGGGACCCTGGTGATATTTCGGAGTTGCTCAATCAACCAGCCCTGGAGCTGACCTTCTCTGTGAGCCCTGCCCATTCGGTGAGATAAAATATTTCATAAATGTTTAAGAGCTCTCAGAGAGGGATTTATTCTTTGAAGAAGAAATGGCACAGTCACAGCATAGCACTTGTACCATTATTTAATATTTTCCTTCAAATAAATCCACTTTTTTAAAACTTCAAATAATTTAAAAATTAAGCTTCCTGTTGTCATATGGAAAACCCCTGATCATAAAAACAAAGTAACCAAAAATGCAAGAATTTATAAAACAGTATTATTACGATCCATACAGCTGCACTGTCCAACAAGGTGGACCCAAGCCACATAGGACTATTTAAATTTAAATTCATTAAAATTAAATTAAATTAAAAATTCAGTTTCCCAGCCATACTGGCCTCATTTCAATGCTCAGCATCCGCATATGGTCAGTGGCTACCCTACTGGACAGTGTCAATTTGGGCATTGCCATCACTGCAGAAAGTTCTATTGAGCAATAGTAGTATAGTCTAGTGAGGTCTTTTTTTTATTTAACTTAATTTTAAAATTTTTTTAATTTAAATTCTATTAATTAATATATAATATATTAGTGGTTTCAGAGGTACAGGACTGTTCAGGTCTTGATCTCAGGGTCGTGAGTTCGAGCCCCACCTGACCTCTACTCGTAGTCATCTTTGCAGAGCATGGCACCCCCCAGGTCAGCCCTTTCTGCAGAAGTGAGGATTGAGGCATCCCTCGCCCCTGCAAAGACCCCACAGTTCAAGTACATTTCTCCCCCCACCCCGCAGGGCTCAGACCTTCTTCGCCGTAATGGGCAGGTCCCACAACTTTCACAGATCCCTCCTACTGCTCCTGAGACAGAAGAGGGAAAACCGACCTGACTTGGACAGAAGGTCTGAGAACCATGACAGGATGGGTGGGGCCTTGGCCATCACCCTGGCAAGGGGACTGAGCAGGGAGCCTTGCTTCTACTGTGGACGGTCCTCCAGCCAGGGCTGCCAAGGAGCCACCTGCCCCACCATGCCTGGGTACCTTCGGATGTGCTGCTGCAGGTCGAAGTTTTTGGTGAATGACTTGTCACAGTATGAGCACTTGAGTTTTTGAGGCTTGGGTTTCCCTGCAGTTGAAAAACAAGGTGGGGGATGGGTGGGGAACAGTGAGGCTGGGGGTATAAGTGAGGGCAAAGAGAGCAGCCTCCGATCTCTCTACCCCTTGGACGTGGAGCCAGAAGGCCCAGGGGGGTCTACATGCACAGACAGGCAGGGGAAGCAGCACAGAGCCTCTCACAGTGCCTGGAGGAGGAACACCCAGGAGATGCTCTGCCTGGAAGAACAGAACCACCTCTGAAAGCCTCCCCTTGGCCTGTGGATAAAAATCCAAACTTGGTGCTGGGGCCTACAGGGCTATGCATCCTCTGCTTCCTGCCAACCTCATCATTCTCTCCATCCAGCTGCAGTGGACTCCTTGCTAACCTTGCAAGACCTCAGGTGACTGATATCTGTGCCCTCCCCCTCCACCAGCAATTTCTAACACTGCCCCTGTCCCATCGCTAGAATCTCTGAAGGGGTCACAGACACCACTGCTTGCCTGATATCCACTGTCCCCCTTCTTCCCTCAAAAACCCCCAAATAATGGAAACATCAATATTCCCGGCTAAAAGAAACATTTCCCAGCTTCCTTTGCAGCTAGATAGGGTCATATGACTAAGTTGTGATCGATGAGGTGAAAGCAAAAGCATCATGCAGAACTTCCGGAAGCTGGGAGATGCCCCTTTTATCCTTTTTACTGCCTGGAATATGAAACTGATGACCGGCGCTCCAGCAGCTGTCTTAGATGGTGAGGCACCATGATAACAGAAGCTATGCCCTGGGGGTAGCAGAGCAGAAAGACAGAAGAAATGTGGGGACCCCATGACCACAGAAGCACACGATTTCCAAACTGCCTGCCACTGGCCTTGTCTTGCACAGGAGAAAAATAAAATTCAATCATTTTAAAGTCACTCTTACTTTGGACTTTCCACTACATACAACCATACTTCATCCTAGCCATCGTAAGAGGGAAGATCAGAACTAAGCAGCCTTATGGACAGGAGAAGTCTGAAGAAAGAGAGGAGAGACGCCCCTGGCAGGTGGCGGGCCCACCTTCTGGGAGTCCACTGGCACCTTTGGCCCGGCGGGTCTTCAGTGTTGGTGGGGGGTCAAAGGTGGCCACCGTGCCCCCAGTAGCGCTGGTCATGGGGGCAGCCGGGTTTGGTCCTTTCGGTTTGAATCCCTGTTTGCCAGGGCTGTACACTGGAGGGGTGGGGTATACTGGAGCCTCCACACACTGGTTTGGCACCTAGAAGGACAGCACAGTGAGGGAGAGGGGCCTGGGAAGGACAGAAAAGAACTAGACCAGCCAGGGGGACCCTCACTGTGGTCCTGGCTAAACTCAGCCAGGATCGCAATCCTAACCCCTCCATCTGGTTCAGTCAGCCCAGTCACTCCCAAGACCCTGCAGAACTTCATGGAGCCAGTAGGCTAGAAGCAGCTTTGGAGCCAGGCAGTCTGGGTTCAAATCCTGACTCTGTCACTTATCTAAGTGATCTTGGAGAAGTCTTCCAACATCTCTCAATTCCCCAGCTGTAAAATGGGGCTAATCAGAGTACTCCCCTCCTTGGGTTGTAGTGAGGATCAAATGAGTTAACATGTGAAGAGCTCAGAAGGGTGCCTAGCATACAGTAAATGTTCAATAAACATTATCTGCTGTTACGGCATTATTGGTAGTAGTAGTTTGTTAGCAAAGGAGAACCAGGAAGTCAGAAGGGTCTGTATCCTCACCAGTAACCCCGCTTCCTAACTGACCCTGCCTGATGCCACACCAGCATCTCTCAACTGAGAATGGACCCTGAAGCCACAAAAAATTCATTCATACCAAATGAATTCTGAGCCACTCAAACCTCATTAACACTAAGCTTACGCCATGACACCAGGGCATTGTGAAAATTTCATTAATTCAATGATTTACTCATCATTCATTGGTTTTTCCAGGCTGGCTTATCCAAAACTTCACTTCCTATCCTCCTCTGCTTTTTTCTTTTTCTTTATAGACTTATCATTATCTAATAAATTATGTGTTTTACTTACTTATTATCTGCCTAGTTCCATGAAGGCAGGGACTTTTGGTCCACTTTTGTTTACTGTTCCATCCCAAGCCTTGAGTCATCCTTGCCACAGAGTGGACAGTCAATAAATATTCGCTGAACCAGTGAATTCATTTATATATTATAATGAACATAAAAAAGGTATACTTGTTCATTCAGGTGATCAAAATGTATTTGTCAGATATATTTGGTCTTCATCCACAGTTCCTGGAAATGCTTCAGAGCCATAAAAGTGAAATGGGTGTCTTATTATTTTTGTTTGTTTTATTTTATTTTATTTATTTATTTTTTTAAAGATTTTATTTATTTATTTGACAGAGAGAGATCACAAGTAGACAAAGAGGCAGGCGGAGAGGGAGAGAGGGAAGCAGGCTCCCCACTGAGCAGAGAGCCCGATGCGGAACTCGATCCCAGGACCCTGAGATCATGACCTGAGCCGAAGGCAGCGGCTTAACCCACTGAGCCACCCAGGTGCCCTGTTTGTTTTATTTTTGATGAAAGTTACTTTTGGCCCTGATCCAAAGGCAGGCTGGTTGCCTAGAGGACCAACCATGTGCCTGATGGTTTGGAATGTTCAGTCCCATCCCCCATCCTCTGGGGGATGAGGAAGGGCTGCAGGTTCAACTAGCCACAGCCTATGACTTAATCATGATTATGTACTGAAACCTCCATAAGAAATCCAGAGGACTGGGTTTGGACAGCTTCCAGGTTGACAAACACATGGATGTGGGGTGAGTGGGACACAGAGCCTCCATGCCCCTTCCCCACACCTCACTCTATGTACCTCTGCGTTGGGTTGTTGATCCCATATCCTTTATTATATCCTTTAATAAACTGGTAAACGTAAATGTTCCCGAATCCATGAGCTGCTCTAGCAAATTAACAGAACCTAAGGAGGAGGTTGCTGGAACCTCCAACCTGTGGCCTGTCCATCGAAAGCACAGGTAGCTTGCAACTGGCTAAAGTGGGGGTGAGGGCAATCTTGCAGGACTGAACCCTTAACCTGTGGGATCTGCTGTTATCTCTGGGTAGATAGCATTAGAAATGAGTTGGAATTCTTGGACACTGTGCTGGTGTCTGAGAATTGCCTGGCATCGTGAGGGGGTGGTGGGAGCGGGACCTCACCCAATAATGGAATTGGGTCCAGGAACGAGAAGAGTTGCTATTGGTGGATGCATGTGTTGGGCATCTAATATGGCACCATCTGGTATGGTAGGTGCTTCTGCTAGATCTCGTCTGTTGGCCTTTGACACCATTCCTACACGTTCCATGTTCCATGCTCTCCCCTGATATGCGCATTCTCAGACTCCCTTACCAGCAAGGTTCTGAGCACAAATTAGGCTCTGCCCACGAGAAGCACCTGCAAGAAATCTGGAAGGCAGAGAAAAGTAGAAACTGCTTTCCTCTGGCAGCGGAGGCGGGAGACAGGAAGGTGTGTGGTCCTAAATTTTGGATGGCTGGGGGCGCCTGGGTGGCTCAGTGGGTTAAAGCCTCTGCTTTCGGCTCAGGTCATGATCCCAGGGTCCTGGAATCGAGCCCCACATCGGGTTCTCTGCTCAGCAGGGAGTCTGCTTCCCCCTCTCTCTGCCTGCCTCTCTGCCTACTTGTGATCTCTGTCTGTCAAAAAAAATCAAATAAAATCTTTAAAAAAATAAAAATAATAATAATAAATTTTGGATGGCTGGCTGAACCTTCCATCCCCCTCCTGACCACCAGCCTCGAGGACGGCAGCACAGTGACAGAATCCTACAGCTTTCCCAGCTCTGGGCACAGCTGGAGTGTCCTGGCCCTCTGGGCCAAGCAACAACAGTGAATCTGAAAACCAGTGGCCTCTGACAACTCTGCCCTCTGCTCCATCTAGCCCTCCTGAAGCCACCTTTGTAAGCACCTGGCCTCCTGCATTAAATCCCTTCACCAGAAATGCCCAGAGTGGTCCCTATTTTCCTGACCGATACAGAACTCAATAAATATTACATGGACGAATTCACCCGTCATGCAAGTCATCACTGAGCAATTGCGTGACGGCCAGTGGGTTTGCTCTCTTTATCCTCAACAGCTCTGCAAGGGGAGTTCCCATTCCAGAGGCAGGGAGACTGAGGTCAGAGGGCCCTATTTCAGACACCTACTATAGATGCGCCACAGGCCAGGGACTCTGCTAGGGGCCAAGGATCCCAGATCAAAGAAGACTCGGGCTCTGCCCTTGTCCATGCGGGAAATGAACAACAGCAGCTCCCCCTGGTCTGGCCCCCTCCGCCTACCAGGCCACCATCATCCCCTCAGCATTGCACTGACTCAATTTTTTTTTTTTTTTTTTTAACTCAACACAGGGAAGCTTGCTCTGTCCCCTCAGGCTAGGCTAAATCCCCTGCAGGCTCTAATAACATCATGCAGTTGGTGGTGAGATCTCCCCACTGGTCTAGCTCTCCTTAGAGAGAACCATGCTCTCTCTACATGGAATGTCTGTATGGCCAGATTGTAAGGTGAGTGGGGGTTAATGTGACCTCAAGTGCAGGCTCTTGGTGTCAGCACTGTGCCCCCTAGCACTGGTGTCGGGAGAACCCTGAGCACCTTGAGCTTGTAGCAGGGAATGAGTATAGCACACAGGGTACACGCACCGGTTCTGTGGCTTTAATTCTCTATGCTTCCCAGTACCCGTGCCCTTTGCAGGGTGATTTTGCAGCCTTCCCCCATCAAACGTGGCATTGGCTTCCCTACTTCTTAAATCAGCTGGCCTACACTGGCCAACAGAAGAGACCCGGTCACAAGCCTAAGCTCCAAGAGGCCACAGGCATTTCTGCTTGCATAACCGTGCCTCTCCCGCTGCTGTGAGCACATGCCTGGCAAGCCTGCTAGGGGATGAGGGGTGGCCTGGAGCAGGGCTGAGTTACCCAACTTGTCCCACCTACAGGCCGTCCTATAGCAAATGACAGCTGCCATCTCTGCACACCTGGGAGAGCCTGGCCAAGGTCAGCAGAGTTGCCAAGCAAGCCACATAGGTTCAAGAACAATGAACACATTCTGCCATATACCACTGAGGTTCTGTGGAACTTCCTTCCACAGCCCTAGCTAACCCATACATCTAGCTTGTTAAAAAAATGTTAAGAGCCTGGGGCACCTGGATGGCTCATCGGTGGGCGTCCAACTCTTGATTTTGGCTTGGGTCATCATCTCAGGGGTCATGAGATCAAGCCTTATGTTGGGCTACTGCGCTCAGCGTGGAGTCTGCTTAAGATCCTCTCCCTCTGCCCCTCCCCCTGCTCTCCCTCTCTCTCTAAAAAAATAAATAAAATATTTAAAAATGTAAGAGATATTCACATAGATAATTTTTTGGAATCTTCTCCCTAAAACACTGGTGTTCTCGGAATGTTCTGAGCCCTCCCTGAGGGCAGCTTCTACTTCTGCTACAACCTCTACTTCATACCCACTTCTCAAGGCTTGCATTTTACCGTTACAGGTATGATGGCTGGATTAAAGTCCTTCTCTCCCATGATGCGGATACCCCCCTGATCTGGTTCTGTCTCCCACAGTACCTCTGGCACCGTCTGGCACAGAGCTGGTGCTCAGGAAAGGTTCAGGTTACCCATGATAACCAGAACCAGTTTCTCTCCCTCCACCCCAAACCCCGAGCTCCACTCACCTCCAGGGGTGGGTAAGGCTGCATTCCCAATGCCTGGATCTCCACCGTGCCACTCCCAGCCAGGGGCGCCGTGGCACTGTACACCTCCACCACACCACTGCCGCCAGGGTTGGGACGCCCAGGGGGCCCCAGGCTCTGGGGTGGGGGCGGTGGGGGCTGGGGTGGTGGGGGTGGAGGCAGTGGCGGAGGGGGTGGAGGAGGTGGTGGAGGCTGGGTGAGGTAGCTTGGTGCGGAATGCATGTTCAGGCTGCTCTGAAATCAGAAAAGAGAATTAAAGTGTCACACCCTCTTGATACCAGCTGTCTTGTTATCAGCCGGGAAGGATATTGGTCTTAGCTAATGATGTGGAAAGAAGAGCCCCTCACAAGGCAGCTCAGAGGACAGGGCTGATGGGAGGCATGGCAACAGAGTCATGAAGAACACCAAGGAAGCATCAGCTAGGTGCCATTACCCCTTTTCTCTAGGAAATTCGACAAAAATGGCCCCCCTTGGACACCTGAGTTGATCTAATAGCCCCAGTGTTGCTGTCCTAGGAGGGCTTGCTTGTGGGGCCCGCTCTTGAGTGGCCTCTGAGATCCTGCCTTGTGGAAGGTTGCCTAGGACCACTAAGGCTATATTGCTCCCCTGGGGCACTGATCATTCTGTACCAGGTCACCTAGATCATTTGTACGGACAGTGTGATCTAGGGTGAACACCTCCTTTCCTTCTAAGAGTATGGAATTTTGGTCACTTTGGCACCTACATGACCAATCCCCAAGAAAAGCCCTGAGCCTCGAATCTTAGGTATGCTTTCTGGGCAGAAACATGCACACACATTGCTGCTCTCCTCTGCTGGAGGAAAAAGTGTTTTGGGCAATCTCTCCCCACTGGAGGAACTTTAGAAACCTATGCCTCGATTCCTCCAGACTCCAGCCCATGTCTTTTTCCCTTGCTGATCCTGCTGTGTATCCTTTGTCCGGAATAAACCACAGCCACCAGTACAACTATCGCGAGTCCTCGGAGTCTTTCTAGAGACTGTGTGGGTGGCTGTGTGGGTGTGGCTGGCTGTGGACCCCTGAAATGCAGCCACTGACTTCTAGAAATTTCTTCCACAAAAATAAAATCAAACAGGTATGGACTTATAATCAAAAGATATGTGTCCATGGACGGTTCTCTAGTAGTTTTTATAATGGCAAAAAATGGCAATGACCTGCATGTCTGTTAACAGAAGCCTGGCTATGTAGGCAAGGGTCCATCCACACAATGGAATATTTTACAGTTACTAAAATGATCGTGATCATGGGTGCCTGGCTGGCTCAGCTGGTAGAGCATGCAACTCTCGATCTCTGGGTCATGAGTTCAAGGCTCACGTTGGGCGAAAAGCTTACTTTATTAAAAAAAAAAAAAAAAAAAAAGCCCGTGATCAGCATTTCATAAAGGATGTTCCCCTCAATTGCTGTTCCTTGGGTTCCACAGTCAAGCATGTTTGGGGAAAAATCTGGGGTGACAATAATCAAAAGTGTTTTACTCCAGGGGGAAAAAAAAAAAAAAAAAGCGAGGGACAGGGCAAGGAAAGAAATTGAATGTCTCCACCCTGGGCTGGTTTGACCAAAGATTCTTTGTGTACTGGAACATCCAAAGGAGCCACTCTTCTGAGGAACATTTTTGGAAAATACTCATATAGAATTGTAGGCTCAGATAATGATTTTAAGCAAAAGGCAAAATAGAAAAAAAAGCAAATTTCAGAACAGTGCATATTAACATGGTCCACTGATACAGCTATGTGTATTATAAATGTATTTATATATAAAGCTGTTCCTCAGGTCACCTGGGTGGCTCAGTTGGTTAAGCATCTGCCTTCCACTCAGGTCATGATCCCATGGTCCTGGGATCGAGTCCCATATCAGGCCCCTTGCTCAGGAGTGCACCTGCTTCTCCCTCTGCCTCTGCTGCTCCCCCTGCTTTAGCTCTCTCTCCCTCTCTCTCACTCTCTCTCTGACAAAAGAAATAAATAAAATCTTTAAAAAAAACAAAAAACTGTTTCTCTATTTGCATTTAAAGATCGGGGAAGCCAGATACCAAAATTCTAGCAGAGTTTTCTTTGGGGAGAGAGAGCATGGGTGGTTGATTAATTGTTTGACTTCCCAACTTTTATTCTTTCTTAATTGTTTTTAAAGATTTAATTTTTAAGTAATCTCTACCCCCAATGTGGGGCTCAAACTCACAACCCTGTGATCAAGAGTCACGTGCTCTACCAACTGAGCCAGCCAGGTGCCCCCACCAACTTTTATTCTTTTTTTTTTTTTTAAAGAATTTATTTATGGGGCACCTGGGTGGCTCAGTGGGTTAAGCCTCTGCCTTTAGCTCGGGTCATGATCTCAGGGTCCTGGAATCGAGCCCTGCATATGGCTCTCTGCTCAGCAGGAAGCCTGCTTCCCTCTCTCTCTCTGCCTGCCTCTCTGCCTACTTGTGATCTCTCTCTGTCAAATGAATGAATGAATGAATGAATGAATAAATAAATAAATAAAAGAATTTATTTATTTATGTGTGTGTCAGATAGAGAGCACAAGTAGGGGAAGTTGCAGGCAGAGGAAGAAGCAGGATCCCTGCTGAGCAGGGAGCCCCATGTGGGACTCAATCCCAGGACCTGGGATCATGACCTGAGCTGAAGGCAGGCGATTAACTGCTTGAGCCACCCCGGAGTCCCTCCCCCAACTTTTATTCCGAAAAATCTCAAATCTACAGAAAGGCTGCAAAAAGTACAGGGATCAGGGGCCCATGGCTGGCTCAGTGAGTGTAGCATGTGGCTCTTGATCCCAGAGTCACGAGTTCCAGCCCCACATGGGCATAGAGATTAAACAAAACAAACAAAACAAAGAATACTTTGATCAGTCTTGCATTCCATCTAATTTACCAGTTGTTACCATTTGGCCTCATCTGCAAGGTGCACATACGGGTGTGTGCAGGCAGATAAATGTACATACACACAGGGTTATATTTGTGTTCTAGCAAGCCGCGTGACAGCTGCAGACACTGTAACACTCTGTTCTTCAATACTGTATTCCATGCATCCCCTAATAACAGGATATTCTCCCATATAACCACCATTTGACAATCGCACTCAGGAAATTGCGCGTTGATATAATACTACTATCTAAAATATTCAAATTCCTCCTATTCTCATTTCCCCCAAAGTGTCCCAATAATGCCTTTGGATTCTTTCCCCCACAATCCAGGATCCAACCAAGAACTGCATATTGCCAAGGGAAGGGCAGGCAAAATGGGTGAAGGGAAGCAGGAAATAGAGGTGGAAAAGAAAAACAAAAAACCTCACACGTTGTAGTCAGTTGCCATGTCTCTCTAGTTTCCAGAGTAATTAAACTTTGTTCTTACTTTTCTACTGTGTATTTTCTAACATTTTCCAATGGGTATGGAAGACTTTTGTTAAGAAGTTAGGAGGGGGCACCTGGGTGGCTCAGTTGGTAAGGCATCGGACTCCTGATTTCAGCTCAGGTGATGATCTCAGGGTCATGGGATTGAGTCTCACATGGGGCTCTGTGCTCAGTGGGGAGTCTGCTTGAGATTCTCTCTCTCCCTCTCCCTCTGCCCCTCCTCTCCTCACCCTCACTCCCTGTGCACACACCTGTGCTCACTCTCTCAAATAATCTTTTTAAAATTTTTTTTTAAATTGTCAGAGTAAAGCTCTTTTTTAAAAATTTTTTTAAATTTTAGATTTTTTAAATTTTAATTTTAAATTTTTTTAAATTTTATTTATTTATTTGACAGAGAAAGAGAGGCCACAAGTGGGCAGACAGACAGGCCGGGGGTTGGGGGTGGGGGAGAAGCAGGCTCCCCACTGAGCAGAAAGCCTGATGTGGGGCTCTATTCCAGGACCCTGAGATCATGACCTGAGCCGAAGGCAGAGGCTTAACCCACGGGGCCACCCAGGCGCCCTTACATCTTTTTATTTTTAAGATTTTATTTATTTGAGACAGAGAGAGTACAAGAGGGGGTAGGGTCAGAGGGAGAAGCAGACTCCCCACTGAGCAGGAAACCCAATGCAGGACTTAATCCTGGGACTCCAGGATCATGACCTGAGCTGAAGGCAGTCTTTTAACCGACTGAGCCACCCAGGTGCCCAAATAAATAAATCTTAAAAAAAAAAAAAAAAAAAAAAGAATAAAAATAGGAGGGTGTCTGGCTGGCTCAGTCAGTATACATGTGCCTCTTGATCTTGAGGTTGTGGGGTCATGAGTTCAAGTCCCATGTTGGGCATGGAGACTACTTATTTAAAAAAAAAAAAGAAGAAGAAGAAGAAGAAGAAGAAGAAGAAGAGGAGTCAAAATAGGAGTCAAAATAGCCAGACTATGACTATGAAAACCCAAAGTAATGTTCTAGGTCTCAACTAAAGTGACATCTTCCCTCCCCACAGCAGCGCAGGCCAAAGGGAGACTGACAGTCCCTCTTCAGCATGAGAGAGCTGAGGTCATCCACTCTTCTTTCTACAAGGTTCCAAATTCACGGCGGGCAACATACAGGCCTGGAGTCAAGACCCTACGAGAAGCCGGCCCCCTCTTACCTGCACAGGCGGGGGGCCCTGGGACATGGGTTGGTCCAAGGACGTGAAGGCCGACATGGCAGACATGAGCACGTCATCGCTCACCAAGATGTTCCCCTGCACCAGGGTCTGGATCAGCGGGGATGGGGGCACGGTAATGTACGTAGAGATCTGGGTAGTGTGAAAGAGAGAGAGAGAGAAGGGAAGAGAAGAAAAGGGGAGAGAAGACAAAGGATATGTCTGAGGCTTTGGAAGGAAACAGGGCATGATGAAAAGGCTCGGGCTCTGGAATCCCACAGACCTGTGTTTCATATCCACCTCAGCTTCTCCCTGCTGTATGACCCTGGGCAAGTCACTCCACCTTTCAGAACTTCCATTTCCTTATCTATGAAATGAGAGTAAGTCACAACTCTCTGTAAGACAAATACCCCCTAATACTTTCTGGTATCTCTCCTAGAGTAACACTCATACATGTCTACCGGGAGTCCATAAACAACAGTATCCTGTGTAGTTTTATTTCTAATAGCGAATAACTAGAAAGAACCTCAGTGTCCATCAAAGGGTAAACAGAGTAAAAAAGGCAACATAGTCATAGCTTAGAATACTACACAGCAGACAAAAGGTATTGCACGAGAAACCAAATTATACAATAACATGCAGATTATATTTTCTTAAAAAATTCTAAAACAATAGCTCTGTATCACTCCTGTGGGAATCACCATGCTCTGTGTTAAGAGAGGTCTGCGGCAGCCTGAGAAGTATCAGTGTACACGTCCTATGGCTCTGGGGTGAATGCTTTTATTCTGACAGCAGGAATTATGTCTATACAACGGAAGGAGATAATGTTTTAAAGGAATGAGCAGACAAGAGGCAGCCAGCAGGAAACCTAACACCTTGACCTAGCGTCCTGAGATGTGTCCAGCCTCCATTACGGGGATGCTTTAATCCCTCTAAGAGCCCTTGACCCAGGGTGTCTCTGCTTTCCCCTAACCTCCAGACTTGTGGATCTGTCTGCGTCTTCACTCCCTCCACTTAAAGAACGATGGATATCTCAAATCCAGCATGACCAGTGGACTCCTGACATCCCCCCACCAAATCTTCTTGCTGTTTTCCCCACTTCGGGAAATGGCAACTTCATCTCTGCAGTGGATCCCCCTCGAATCCTTCTGATCTCACACCTCACATCCAACCCATCCACAAGCTTTACCGGCTCCACCTTCAGAACATTTCCAAAATCTCATCCCTTCTCTTCACCTCCACTGCCACCATCCCAGTCAAGCCACCACCACCAGATTGGTACAACAGGTCCCTAAATTTCCTGGGTTTCTCTCTTCAATCTCACCAAAATCCATTCACTGTACAGCAGCCAGAGTAATATAGTTTAAGTGTAAATCAGACTATGTCCATCTTCTGTTCAAAACCATCCAAAGGTTCCCATCTCACTCAGAGTAAAAGCCCACGAAACCCACGTTTGTCAGGATTCCCCGTTCCCTGTCTGACCTTATCATCTGCTCTCCTCCTCACTCACTCAGCTCCAGCCATGCTCACCTCCTTGCTGGTCCCGGAATAAACCCAGCACACTCCCACCCCAGGGCCTTTGCATTTGCAGATCCCTTCTCCTGAAATACTCTTCCCCAAACTAGCAGCATGACTCATTCCCTCATCACCTTAGGTCTCTCCTCATATGTCACCTCTTCAAAGAGCTCTTCCCCAAGTACCATCTACAAAATGGCAAAACCTCCCATCCCTGTCTTGGCATCCCCATCTCTCTGCACTTAACATCCTAAAAAAAAAGTCTGTCTTTCCGTATGTGTTTGGTACTATCTCACCCACCTCCATAAGGTCAGTGATTTGGAACATTTGTCCATCACGGTGCCCAAACAGTGCCTGACACAGAGTGCAAGCTCAAAAATGAAAGAACGAACACACAAACAAATGTATACCTGGCGATTGGCAGGAGGCGGGGCCTGCTGGACAGCTGCAGGGGCCGCCGAAGGGGTGTAGATGCTGTTGGTGGCCAATGAGACGGTGGCCAGGGGCGGGGCATTCCCCTGGCACTGTTCCCGCTTGTGGGTCATAAATGCTGGCAATGAGTTGAATTGCTTCTTACACTTTCCGCAGAGAAAGACATCCTCATCATCTAGGGGTCACACCCACACGAGCAGAGGGAAAGGAACAATGATGAAAAGCAAGATAAATGAGAGGGCACCACAATGAGAGACAGGAGAAAACCTGTGGCTAGACCACAAGCATGCCAACTTAACAGAAATCTGTGACTCAGCGTGCATGGTCTACTGCCAACTTTGTGCTTCCAAAAGGAGATTTCAAAACCACATAGGCTCCTACAGGAAGATCCAGTCATGTCTACCCAGGTATTAAAAAATTATGAATCAGTAAATAGTAGAATGGGTGTGCTTCAAAGCTGAGAAATTTTGGAATCTTTATCCCACCTGAATTGTTCATCAGTCCCCAAACGGGCTACATGACCTTCTACGTTTCGGCATTCCCTGCTCCCTCTGCAGGCTTCTTCTCTCAGAACAACTCAGTCCGCAAGACTCTGCTCAGATGTCACCTCCTTCAGGAAGCCTTCCTAAAGCTAGTCGCCACAGTTCCTTCCGCTGGGTGCATCACTCATATCATACTTCTTCCCAGTACCATCAGACTGTGAATCCCCCCAAAGGGAGGACATAAGTCTTACTTATTACCATAACTGCAGTATCTCCTGGGTACGTAGGAGCCCCTCAGTGGGTATTTGCTGAATGAGTGAAAAACTCAATGAATGATTAGCTATAGCTGATACCCCCCACTGAGGGTGGCCATGGTAGACCACGCCATGTACTGTGCCAAGCACTTGACACATTGTGGCAGAAATGTCTACTTGTTGGGGTGCCTCGGTGGCTCAGTTGGTTAAGCATCTGTCTTTGGCTCGGGTCCTGATCCCAGGGTCCTTAGATCGAGCCCCACATCCGGCTCCCTGTTCAGTGGGAAGCCTGCTTCTCCCTCTCCCACGCCCCCTGCCTGTATTCCCTCTCTCACTATATCTCTCTAGCTCAAATAAGTAAATAAAATCTTAAAAAAAAAAAAAAGAAACGTCTACTTGTTATTCAACAGCCACTCTTCCTTCTTAGATAGTAATAGTGGGAAACATGACCATCTAACTAAAGACTCTATCTCCCAGCCTTCTTTGCAGCTAGATATCATGTGACTGAATTCTAACCAATAGGACAAGAGCAAAAGTATACTGTCTATGCAACTTTCTTTTAAAGGAAGGCATATAGGGACACCTGGGTGGCTCAGTCAGTAAAGCATCTGCCTTTGGCTGGACTCATGATCCCAGAATGCTGGGATCAAGTCCCACATCGGGCTCCTTGCTTGGCGGGGAGTCTACTTCTCTTTCTGCCTCTTCCTGCCACTCCCCATGCTCATGCTCGCTCTCTCTCTCTGACAAATAAGTATATAAATATTAAAAAAAAAAAAAAAAAGGCATATGGGGCACCTGGGTGGCTCAGCCAGTTAAGCTTTTGCCCTTGGTTTGGGTCATGATCCTGGGGTCCTGGGTTGGAGCCCCACACTGGGCTCCCTGCTCAGCAGGGAGTCTGCTTCCCCCTCTGCCCCTCACCACACTTGTGCTTGCTCTCTCTCTCTCAAATAAATAAATTCTTTTAAAATAACAAAATAAAAAATAAAAGGAAGGAGTATGACTTCTACTTTGTTCTTTCTTCCCTTTGTGTTGGCTAGAATGTGGAAATGAAAGTGGAAAGCTGGAGTAGCCAACCTGGACAGCAGGTAGAGGGCAACAGAACCTTAAGAAAGAAAGGGTCTGAGTCTCACCACACCCACGCCAAATGCACATCAGGACTTCGTGTAAGAGAGAAATAAGCATTCATCTCTACAAACCACAAGAAACTTGTGTTCCTTATTTACAAAACAACTGAAAGTGAGTCCCAAGCATCCTCACAAGGTCTCTAAGAGGTTAAGACTATTATCCTCATTTTACAGATGTAGAAACTGAGGCACAGAGAAGTTTACTTCCTTGCCCAAGGTCACAGAGCCAGGAACTATGGGAACAAGGATTCAAACCCAGGTGGGTATCTCTCTGTGCCCAGAATTGCTCCCAAGTGTTCAAAAATGTTTGTGGAATGAATAAATGAACACACAGACTCACACAGGGCTCTAAAGTTCCTTATCTTCTCTGTGTCTCAGGGGCCTGGCCTGGAAATTGGAGATTCATGTTCAGCCTGCTCTTTCCATAGAGGAGAGGTTGAGAAATAACTTTCTAGTCAAAGGTGCAAGCATTACTAAGCTCCTAGCCATTCCCTATGTCATGAGCCTCATGTTCACTAAGTGATTGAGAAAGTGCGTCCTCATTGCCAAGAAGAAACAAGCATGAGCCTGAAAACCCAGGCTGGGAGGAAGGGGAGAGGGTTCAGACACCAGATGGTATCCTGGGCACCCCAGTAGGCAATTCACTCCCATACCCCCCTCATGAGCCCCATCTGCTTTTCACGGGAAGCTACCCACCCTTCCCACTGGTGAACCTGCCCAGATACTTACCCAGTGGCTGGATAGCAGGAGGTGCATTGACACTCTGGCCTGTTGGATCAGGGACTGCTCCTTGGCCGTCCAACAATGACTGGACGGCCAGGACGGTCTGATTGTCCATTCCTGAAAAAAGAAATGGAGTCTCTGACTTCCCCTTCACAAGCCAGACCCAAAGCAAGCCCTCTGTGGTAAAGACGGCTGGCTGTGCCCCAATATACATTCTCTCCTACTTCCACTGCAATAGAACCCAAGATTTTTGGCTGAAAATATGGCCCCACAATAAAGATTACATTTCCCAGCTACTCTTGCAGCTAGGGACTGTCTAAATTCTGGACAATGGGGGAAGAAAGGTGTTCTATGGCAGTACCTGGGAAGTTATTTTAAAACTGCCTGGTACGGGATGCCCTTTTTTTGCCCTATCCTCCACCCTGCTTCCTACAATGAGAATATGATCATGGGAAGTCTAGCCACCACCCCAGATCGTAAACCTAAGAGCCATACCCTAGGGATTGCAGGGCACAATCTGGAAAGGTCCTGGGCCTCTGAGAACCTTGTAGAACACAGCTACCCTTGGAGCTTTGGACTGTCTTCCTCTGGTCTCCCATATGAGAGAAATAAACTTCTACCTTGTTTAAACCACTGCGAGATTGGGCTTCTCTCTTCCTCAGGGAACAGTCTGATCCTAAATCATAAGCCCATCCACAAATCATGTTACCGAGTCTTCCCCATCCTACCCCACAAATTTGTTTGCTCTTGGTGTCCCTGCTTCCCTTGTTTACCGATGTGTACTTCTCCTTTCAGTTCCTCGGTAAACAGTGTAATCGAATTTATGGTCAGGACACCCGTGGGAAGGTGAGTACTTCCATGTTTTCCAGTCAGCTGTCACTACTGCTGAGGTTCATAGTAGTACACTATCTAGCCATGTCACCAGCTGGAGGACAGGCCTCCTCACATCTAAGTGGCCACCAAACCGCACTGCCTCCCTCCCAAAAAACCCAGAGGGTGCCTCCTTCTCTCCGTCCCCACAGCCAACGCTCTGCTTCCAACCTCTTTCAACCTTTTACCTGGACACCTGCTCCAGCTTCCAAAGGCAATGCAAATTAGAACTATTAGCTGCCACAGCCAAAGTGAATTCATATTTTCTCTTGTCACAATGCATGTTGTGTCTCTCCTGAGGCCAGCACCTCCCTCCAACCCCTCCTGCTCCCTCAGAAACCACTCTCCACAGCAAATGGTCCCTTTCTTCACAGTATATCTGCAACCTCCCCTTCCCATCAACAGCTACACATGCTCAGGTCTCTCTAGAATGCTCTCTCTTGAACCCACGTTCCTATCTCTCCTCCCTTCAACACCAATCATCCTTCCACCTCCTCTACCCACCTCTCAATCTTCCTCTACCCACTTCATGGGCTTAAGCTCCCAGCATTCCCCCAAAATCACTAAAGAAATCTGGCAGCATCAGAGATTCCTTCCTGAGACACTCCCCTGGCTCTAGGATACCTCCCTCCCGGGTCTTCTTCCACCTCTCTGCTCACTCCTTCACAACTTGCTCTGCTCTCTTCTGTCCAAATCTCTTCTAGGGCCACCTGGGTGGCTCAGTGGGTTAAAGCCTCTGCCTTCGGCTCAGGTCATGGTCTCAGGGTCCTGGGATCGAGCCCCACATCGGGCTCTCTTCTCGACAGGGAGCTTGCTTCCTTCTCTCTCTGCCTGCCTCTGCCTACTTGTGATCTGTCTGTCAAATAAATAAAATCTTTAAAAATAAATAAATAGGGGTGCCTGGGTGGCTCAGTGGGTTAAAGCCTCTGCCTTCGGCTCAGGTCATGATCCCAGGGTCCCGGGATCGAGCCCCACATTGGGCTCTCTGCCAGCAGGGAGCCTGCTTCCTCCTCTCTCTCTGCCTGCCTCTCTGCCTACTTGTGATCTCTCTCTGTCAAATAAATAAATAAAATCTTAAAAAAATTAAATTAAATTAAAATTAAAATAAATAAATAAAAAGGAATGAAATACTGATAGTCATAGTAACTTGGGTGAATCTTAGGGAATTATGATAAGTGGGGAAAAAGCCAATTTCAAAGCTCATCTATATGATTCCATTTATATGACATTCTTGAAATGACAAAATTTTAGAACTGGAGGACGGATTAGTGGTTGACAGACACCAAGGATGATGGGGAGCAGGGAAGGAGGTGGGTTTGGCTATCAAAGGGCAACGTTTTATGGTGATGTAACTGTTCAATATGCTGTAATATAAAATAGTCTTGCATGTTACATTGAAGAAAACTAGGTAAAGGGTATGTAGGAATCTACAGAAAAAAACCCACAATGATTTCAAAATAAAAAATTTGATTCAAGGGGCACCTCAGTGGCTCAGTGGGTTAAGTGCCTGCCTTCGGCTCAGGTCATGATCCCTGGGATCCCTGGGATCCTTGGGATCCCTGGGACCTGGGCTCAAGTCCTGGGATCAAGCCCCATGTAGGGCTCTCTGCTTAGGAAGGAGCTTGCTTCTCCCTCTCTCTCTGCCTGCCACTCCTCCTACTTGTGCGCATTCTCTCTTTCTCTTTGTGAAATAAATAAAATCTTAAAAAAAAAATTTTTTTTAATTTTGATTCAAAAAATACTGCCTGTCAAAACTATGGAGACAATCAGAAGAACAGTGATTCCCAGGGGTTTTGTTGGGGGGGTGTGGCTATGAAAAGACAGAACAGAGAGGATTTTTAGAGCAGTGAAAATACTCTGTGATGATATTGTAATGATGGATATATGTCACTGCACATTTGTCCAAGAGAATGTGCAACACGCACAGTGAACATAAAGAACAGCTATTGATTTTGGATCATTATGGTGTGTCAGTGTAGAGTCATCCTTGGTACCAAATGTACCATCTGGGCGAATTATGTTGCTAATGGGGGAGGCTAGTCACGTGTGAGTTCAGAGGCTCTTCAGGAAATCTCTATATCTTCCTTTCAACTTTGTTGTCAACCTAAGGCTGCTAAAACTAAAAAATAGTCTTTTAAAAAAGGCTGCCTGTCTAAAACTGAGATCTAGCGAAGTGTGTCACCCTCACTGCTCAGTTTTACCTCTTCCAGTAATTCTCATCAACAAGAGGCACCAATGTCCCCCCAACCAGAGTCCCTAGGGCACCCCTTTACTCTTTCCCCAACCTCTTCTCATTTCTAGTCCTTCAGCAGCAAGTCTAGCCTATTCTGTCCCCACATTGCCTCTCTTCAGATCTACTTTCCTCCTTCCTGTAGCTGTCCCCCTGGCCCAGGCCACCACTGGTTCTCAGCAGGACAACTGAAGCTACTTCCCTCACCTCCCCGCTGCCACTCTGGCCCCCTCCAGTGCGTCCTCAGAGCAGCCGGAGTGAACTTTATAAAACATACATCAGATTGTTCTGCTCCCCTGCTGAAAACCCTTTCTCAGCTCCACAGTGATTGCAAGATAAAGTTCACAAGTCTCAGCTCTAACTCCTCACTCACATGAACTTCTGTGAATCCTAGAAGACCTCTCTTTCCCCAGGGCTTTGCAAATGCAGATCCTACTACCTGGGTCATTTCTGGGTCCTCACAGTTCCGCTGTCCTTGCCCTAGCAGAGCATGCATGTCACTGTTCTAGGAACTGGTTTTTCTTTTAATTTCCTCATCACTCAATACATGAACACATTCTTGTAGTAAAAATTCAAACGTGAAGGACGTCCATGGAAGCTAAAGAGAAAGTAGGCCTCACCCTATTCTATTGGTCTTCCAGAGGTTAAGTACACTGACCCTGTCCCTCCACATCTGTCACCCTAAAAGCTGGCACTAAAAGCCAGCTAAGGTAATCTTCTTTTATAGTATACCTTTTCTGCAACTGTATAATTTTAATAGCTGTTTGTTCTATAATTTCTATATGCCTCCCTCCACTCATGTGCCCCTGGCCAACTGTGGGGCAGGAATTGTGTCTGGCTCAGTAAGTATTCCTGAGATTGAAATTCTCCCCCCAGTGGGGTGGGGTGGGGGGTTCTCACCTATTTCATGGTGAGAACTCCGATCCTCCAAAAAGTGAAGGGACATGGCTGAGATGTCCTATGGGTCTCAAGTCTCAGCAACATTCTACTAGTCTGACCAACTTTCAGTCTTCTGATTTATCACACCCCTCTAAGAGCATTCTCAGGTCTGTATCCCGCCCCCCCCCCCCGCAACCTACCCTGTGCCACGGTCCTAAAGTCAGTAAGGCTCCCGCCCACCCATCCATGTCCTGCAGGTATATAGAGAGATCTACGCAGTGTTTGCTGACTCCAAAGCCCACAATTCCCTGCGCCTGAGGTCCACTTCCACGCTTGGAACCTCCAGAGCACAGGACAATTAGATGGCACCCAGTGTTCATAGGGTTCCGTCTGAGGGCACTGTGTGTCCCAGCCAAGCACACCGCTGACACCCATCGTTTCTTGATCTGAGTGTATAAAGCTCTGCACCCCAGCACGGTGCACAAAATAGGCACCTAGTGTTTGTTTGTATGTGTGAGCACCGAGTCCTGGCCTTGCACACAGGTAGCACCTATCCTTTCGTGGTCTGATTTTGAGAGACCACCTCGGGCATGAGGCCCAGCTGGCCCTCAATACAAGTCGTTCGTGGTCAGGACGCCTAGTTAGGTTGCTTCAGCCTCCAAGCCCTTCCCGCCCCCGTACCACCGCCTCCCTCAGCGCGGACTTTGCGAGGCCTGTCTTCCACTGCGTTGCCTCTCCGGCTGTTCCCTCCAGGACATCCCTCCTGCGCCTACCCGAGGCCCTCGCCGCTGACGCTGTTCCTGTCCAAGGCCTTCCCCCCCCCCCCCCCCCCCCCACGCCATGCTCCCCCGGCTGTTCTGCCCCGGTGCTCCCTCGCCTCCCCCAGGGCTTTCTCGCCTCGCAGTTCCTGTCCCGTTGTACCCCCTGCGCCGGGCCTCGGCTCCCGCGGCTGTTCTGGTCCCATACCACCGCCCTCCGCCATTGAGCCTATCTCCGCCGCTGTTCCGGTCCCGGTGCCCACCCCCCCCCGCCGGGCCTCGGCTCCCGCGGCTGTTCCCTCCCGTGCCCCTCCCGTCCCGTGGCTGTTCCGGCCCCGGCGCCCTCCGCCCCGCGGCCGCCGCGTGCCCTGGGCCCGGCTCTGCGAGGACGCGGCGGGAGGGGGCGCAACGTGGAACAGCCGCCTCCCCCGGCCCCGCCGCAGCTCACCCTCCAGGGCCTCGAAAATCGTCTGCGCCATCTTGGAGCTGCTGCCGTCTCGGGAGCCGAAGCGGGGCTGCGTGAGCATTGTGGGAACCGCGGTGGGGTCAGGGCCGCCAGGGGGCGCTCGTGAGCTGCCGCCGAGCCCCCTCACCCCCCCCACCCCGCCCGCCGTCTGGGAAATTCAGCAGTGGCTCCCCTGTCATGCCTAGATAACCCAGCCACCGGCATGTGGATCCCCAAACCTGTCTCACATGAACCGCCAATTCTGCACACTGACCCCATCCCAGCCGCACACAGGAGACCTCCCAAATGGGTATTGGACCCCTAATATTATCTGGACCTTCCACCCCCACCCCTGCTCGTGAGACTCCCATTTCTGCAACATGGAACTTATTTCCACAGCACACAGTATCCCCCACCTAACCCGGACTACCCAACTGTGTCACAGCGACTTCCACCTAACCCAAGACCCCTGCCTTAGCTGTGCAACACTGATTCTCACTCCTAATTGTTCCCAACCACAGCGAGCCCCATCACTACCTAGTGGGAGTCACCTGTCTCCTGAAGTGCCTCCCATCTCAACCTGGTCTTAATCCCCCATCGTCTCAAGAGATTTACCCATAGCTGTTACTTAATTCCCACTTGCACCTGTTGGGGACCTCATTTCCTCTTCATACAGACCTCCATCCCTGCCTCCTGGGGACTGCATTCTGTCAATAAAACCCCAATACCGGCCTCAGCAACCTCCAACCCAGCCTTAAAGAAAGACTATCCAGGTCTCCCAGATTCCCCCACCCCACCTCCAGTCCTCACTCGGACACCCCCACAACACTGCTCTCCATAGTTCATGCTCCATTAGCCCCTAATTGAGAGTTTACCATGCACCAAGTCCTATAATAGCTCCAGGATCCAGTGCTCCCTTCCCTTGGAGGTAGGGATGGGGGAAGCAGACAAATTTAATTTTTAAATCTTAAAAATTATTTAATTACTAGGGGGGTGAGGAGTTAGGTGAGCCTGGTGGTGGGTATTAAGGAGGGCACGTATTGTATGGAGCACTGGGTATGGTGCATAAACAATGAATCCTGGAACACTGAAAAAATAAAATTAAAAAAAATTTATTTAGGTACAAGGTGTGACAGTGGTTCCAAAGAAGTACACTTGGACCACAAGGAAGAGTTGGGGAGTGTGTGGAGGGGAGAGGCAACCAGGGAGGTCCCCTCAATCATGATTTCTTACGAATGTGGCCAGATCCTCCAATTGGTCTACCGTGGGTTTGACCCTAAATGTTCTCATTGTTTTTTCTTAAATATCTATATTAGTCTCATCCAAAGTAATAACCATAAAAAAATCACAATTTTCATCTTCTCCTATTCACTAAATATATAACTCCTAAGAGAAAAAAAAAAACAAAAAACTTGCTCAAAGGTCCTTTGTCAGGGCGCCTGGGTGGCTCAGTCAGTTAGGCGGCTGCCTTCGGCTTGGGTCATGATCCCAGGGTCCTGAGATCGAGCCCTGCATCAGGCTTCCTGCTCAGTGGACAGCCAGCTTCTCCCTCTCCCTCTGCCTGCCACTCTGCCTAATTGTGCACTTTCTCTCTGCGTCAAATAAATATATAAAATCTTTAAAACAAAACAAAACAAAACAAAACAAAAAAGGTCCTTTGTCCTGTGGAACACTACCAGCCATTGTTCCTGATAAGTTGCCTCACAGACCCTCTACTTGCACACCCCCTCAAGGTCCATTTCTACTGATAAACTCCCCATCTTGTGCCAAATACCGCCCCTGTCTTCCCCAACACTACACCCCTTCCCCTCCCTATTCACACTTGCACAGCAAGCCCTGAGCAAATGTCCCCAAAAGAGAACCTACCATTTTCCCAGATTGCATGCCTCACCTTCTTTCCTGGGAACTTTGGAGACCTGGGGCCCTCCTCAAGCCCTAAACCCCACTTTCCATTGCCTCTCTGACAGGAATGGGGCCAGGGATCCCTCCTCCATGTCTTTCCTTCCCCATTGATCCAGTGGCCTCAGATTCTTGTCATCTCTCCCCTTCAAGAGCTTCTCAATATAACTGTTCTTTTTAAAAATTATTCAAATAATATATTAATACATTCACACTCATTTAATTAGAACTGACCCTTGAACAACATGGGGGTTGGGACACCAGCCTTGCACACAATTGAAAATCCTGTGTATAACTTCTTTTTTCTTTTAAAGATTTTAATTATCTATTGTTTGAGAGAGGAGAGAGAGAGAGAGAGCATGCACATGAGAGGAGAGAGGTCAGCAGGAGAAGCAGACTCCGTGTCAAGCAGGGAGTCTGCTTGATTCCCCAATGTGGGACTCATCCCAGGACTCCAGGATCATTACCTGAGCCAAAGGCAGTCGCTTAACCAACTGAGCCACCCAGGTGCCCCTGTGTATAACCTCTGACTCCTCAAAAACATAGCTACTAATAGCCTACTGTGACCAATAGCATAAAGTCTGTTAACAAATATTTCGTATGTTATATGTATTATATACTGTATTCTTACAATAAAGCTAGAAAAAAGAAAATGTTATTAAAATCACAAGGAAGAGGGACATCTGGCTGACTCTGTCGGTAGAGCATGTAACTCTTGATCTTGAGGTTCTGAGTTTGAGCACCACATGGGGTGTAGAGATTATTTAAAAATAAAATCTTTAGCAAAGAGAGGGGACACTTGGGTGGCTCAGTAGGTTAAACTTCTGACTCTTGGTTTCAGCTGAGTTGTGGTCTCAGGGTTGTGAGATTAGCCCTGAGTCAGGCTTGGTACTCAGCGGGGAAATCTGTTTGGGATTATCTCTTTCCCTCCAACTCTGCCCTCCCCCCATGACCTCCTCCCCCAGCTTGGCTCTCACATGCTCTCTCTCTCTCTATCTCTAATAAATAAAGCAAAATTTTAAAAATTTTATTTATTTATTTGAGAGAAAGAGACACATCGAGAGAGGGAACACAAACAGGGGGAGTGGGAGAGGGAGAAGCAGGCTTCCCACTGAGCAGGGAGCCTGATTCAGGCCTTTTTCCCAGGACCCTGGGATCATGACCTGAGCTGAAGGCAGGCGCTTAACAACTGAGCCACCCAGGTGCCCCATAAATAAAATAAATCTTTAAAAAAAAGAAGGGAAAATACATTTGTAGCACTGTACTGTAAAAAAAATTCACCTGCATAGTCGAAACCCGTGTTGTGCAAGGGTTAACTATAATTTAAAATATTTATTACAGTAGCACCTGGGTGGCTCAGCTGATTCAGCGTCTGCCTTTGGCTCAGGTCATGCTCCCAGGGTCCTGGGATTGAGCCCCACATCAGGCTCTCTGCTCAGTGGAGAGCATGCTTCTTCCTCTCTGTCTCTCTCCCCACTCATTCTCTCTCTCTCAAATGAATAAATAAATAAATAAATAAATACATAAAATATTTATTACATACATATTGTGTTAGATATTGTTCTAGATGCTGGGGCATGGCCATGAAAATAAAGACAAAAATCCTTGCTTTCATGGAGTCATAGTCCTGCAGGCAAGATGGACTGTAAACAAGAAAAAAAAAGAGAGAGAGAAATATTCTGAGACTATATATTTTTTTTCCTCTGCAGGAAAGGAAGCTACTTTAGACAGGGTGGTGAGGGAAGGCCTCTCTGAGGAGGTAGACTTGAGAATTGAAATGGAGTCATATGGAGGAAGGAAACACGTGGAACTCTTTGGCTGTATCATCTTGGGCAAGTGCAAAGACCCTGAGGTCTAAATGAAAGAAGACCAAGGATTGTAAAGGAGCAACTGAGGATAATAAGTGAGGTATGGGTACAGGAGGATGAGGATGGTGAAACAGACAAGGCCATTGTGAGGGTTGAGGTTTAGTTCTGAGGGTGATGGGTGGTCGCACTGGACAGTAAAAGTTTCCACTAACACAAGTCTTGGTAGTTTTCCATATATTTCCATATTTTCCATATATTTCTGTATATAAATCAAGTATATACATACTTGATTTTTATTTCTTCTTCAGACCTTCGCAAATTTTGCTCTGTCTTACCAAAATGCTGGTCTTCCACCCTCATTGGAACACCACAAGCTTGGTGCCTTTGTCTTTGTGCCTCCTCTAAAATCTTTCCTTGATCTGCCTGGATGGGATCCCTCTCTCCATTGCTGTTCCTGTTTCTCACAGTACCTGGTACTACTGCTGTCACGTGATACTTCTCTTGGAAATCCCCCTTCCTTCCACCCCCCCTTAATAGGAGCTCTCGAGCACCGGAGGTACTTCACCCTTCTGGTTGGAACTCAGAGCCTGACACAGAGTAACCTGAGAAATGCTTGTTAATTGACCAGTTGACTGACAGAGCAGCTGAATGAGTTTTCAGGGATGTAGAACCCATCTCCAACAGGCTCCCCATTCAGGATGACCCCTGCTCTGAACTTTCTGCTCCTCACCTCCATCTCCTCATCTACCCAAATCTGTCAGTCCTAGGTCCTATTTCCTTAGACAGCTTAGAGACTCCTGGTATACCTAACATGGTAATTCTAGGCATGGAGCCAAGCAGGGAGGAAGGAAAGTTTGGGAAACTTCCAGTGTCCCCTTCCACAATGAGTGCTCCAGCCACCCCAGAAATGTTAACTTCTCCATGGGGAGAGAACCCATGAGCAGCTTAAACCAGATTCCCAGCTGCAAGGGAAAGGAAGTGAGGACACACATAGCTGGGCCCTGACATCTTGTTCATTGGCATTGGTAGGAGACAGCAAAACATGGTGGTTGCTATGGGCTGAATTGTGTCCCCCCAGAATTCGTATGTTGACATTCTAACCCGTAGTACCCCAGAATGTGACTGTATTTGGATATTGGGCCTTTAGAAGAAGTATTTAAGACTAAATGAGGTTATATAAGTGGGTTCTATCTAGTATGACTGGGGCCCTAAAAAAAGAGGAAATTTGGACCCAAGTATGTACAGAGAAGACCATATGAAGACACAAGGAGAAGACAATCAACTACAAACCTTTCAGTGTTCTTCAGAGGATATTTTTATATTTTAATGTCGCATTGCCACTATTTTCAGAGGAAGGATTACCTGAATAAGCCAGTCCACTATTACT